AATATTATTATATGTATTCTTTGAATTAATAAGTATTTTTTTAATTTTATTGTTTAAATTGATAATGATTTACCTCTATACATATTTATCCCTCTCTCTGGATAATTAATGTACCTCTCTGATGAAAATAATGATCAAATTGAAAAGGATAATTATATATTCTGTTTATCCAAGTGATTATCATCCTGTTTATCTCTCTTGTGTATCTTCTGAGATAAGAGAGATATTCTACGGGCGTTGATAAACGCACTCCCTCCCCCTCCCTGCACGCCCACGCCCACACCCCTCCAAAAGGGGCGTGCAATTGAACCCGCCCCTCCTGGAGGGGCGGGTTTGATTGAACGCCCCTCCTGGAGGGGCGGGTTTGATTGCACGCCCCTCGGAATCCTGTTTTTCCAAGGAAACAGGCTTCCAAGGTGCGGGCAGAAGAACCCGTCCCTCCAGGAAGGGAGGGCAAAAGAACCCGCCCATCAAGAACGATATTCTGGGTTCTTGACTAGCGGGTATGATTACGTAAGCAAAAAATCCTAGGATGTTTTGCTCACGTAATCCTATCTTCTTACTATGTAACATTTTAAATCCAGCCCATCGGGAGGGTTTACTCTTGATGGGCTGGATTTGAAACCAGTTCATTGGGAGGAAACCCTCCCGATGAACTAGGCTGAAGAGCATCTCATCGGGAGGGTTACCTCCCGATGAGCTGGTACATAGCTCATCGAGAGGAAACCCTCCCGATGATCTGGTTTCAATTCCAGATCATCGAGAGGGTTTCCTCCCGATGAGCTGGACTATGTACCAGCTCATCGAGAGGGTTTCCTCCCGATGAGCTGGACTATGTACCAGCTCATCGGGAGGGTTTCCTCCCGATGAGCTGCCTCACAGTCCAGCTCATTGGGAAGAAACCCTCCCGATGGGCTGGATTCAAATCCATCCAAGAACCAAGCTATCTCGGTTCTTGGCTGGCGTGCAAACCCACCCGCCCCTCCTGGAGGGGCAGGTGCTTCTGCACGCACCTCGGAAGGCTGTTTACTCGAAAAAACAGGATTCCAAGGGGCGTGCGATCAAACCCGCCCCTCCAGGAGGGGCGTGTTCAATCGCACGCCCCTTTTGGAGGGGCGTGGGCGTGGGCGTGCAGGGAGGGGGAGGGAGTGCGTTTATCAACGCCCATATTCTACATATGTAATTCTATTTTCTAAAATAAGAGAGATAGTCAACACATGTACATTTGCATGTTTGAATATCTTGACACTTTTCCCCAAAGGAATAGTGTAACAATAAGGGGGCTGAACCGGTCCAACAGGCAGCCTGAACCCTGCCTTGCAAAACTTAAGGGGGAAGATTTCCCTCTTTCCTTCCCCCAGAGATCATTGCAATACAAACCCGTGTACCTTACTTAATATTAGTGAGTGGGGTTTTAGCAGTACACTCTCCCTTTTCTCTTTACCTTCCATCTTTATCATTATGCTAGTATCCTAGACTACAGTTAAGTAACTACTGTAGTCTAAAAGAGAGCCTCTTTTGATCTGCTCTAAGCTTGGTTTGGTGATGCTCATTCCACCGTTCTCCCCTCTAACCCAGGGAGCTAACCCCTCCACCTTCTGGTGTTGAGGTGAGGTTTATTTCAACTGTCCACCTCTGTGGCTATAGTGTGACCCAATACCCTATCAACTTCTGGTCACATAAGATACTGGAGCTGACACAAACTCTGTTTCAAATCAAAGGCTCTGTGAAGCTGAAGTTATCATTTGGGATTTTTTTTTGATTCAGTGTAGAAATGCTGTTGAGGCAGTGGATATCACACTTCTAGATTTGATGTACGATGAAGAACCTTTTGGTACAAAAATGAACATTTTTGTAGGTGATTTCAGGCAAACATTACATGTTGTTACAGGAGGAACAATACAAGATCAAGCAGATAAATACATTATCAATTTCCCACTTTAGAATATGGTGCATACCTTTCAACTGACACAGAATATGTGACTACAAAATTCAAACATTGGCCAGGTGGTGGACTTCTCCAACTTGATCCTGCAGATCAGAATTGGCAAGGATCAGTCAGACTTTTCTTCAGATGTTGACTTGAATTATGGATGAGTGTTCAGGCATCAATCAGATTTTCTGGTGCAAACCTTTTTCACTAATTCTGTTTATGGTTACTTCAATTTGGTCTATGATTCCGGTGATCTCAAACAACTATCAAGCTATTTCAGCTCTCAATTGATCCTTGCACCTCTCAATAGTGACATCTCTCAAACTAATGAATCCTGTATAGAGATGGTCGTTAGGTATTCATTGCGGATACCCCCCCAGGGCCAATAGATACCCTCCAGGGGGTGCAGATGGCTGTTTCCCCCCCACCAAATCTGGCAGATATCTGGGTATTCCCAGGGATACCCAAGGCCAATGGCCGGCTGGAAGGGTTTCCTTCCAGTTGGAGAGGATGTACCTCTCTGTCTGAAAGGAAACCCTTCAAGCCGGTGCCTTGCCAGCCCTTTAAAGGGCGGGTATCAGAGGATACCCGCCAGTGGCTGCAGATGGCTGTTTCTCCGGAAAAAGCAGCCAGATATCCAGATGCGCCGGGGCCATCTCTAATCATGTACAAACACATTTTGCGGTCAGACTTTTCTTTCTCATTTACTTTACAAGATGGCTATAGAAGATTATGGCATGGACAGTAATGAGGCTATTCCTGTAGAATTCCTCAACACGTTCACCATCCCCAGCTACCCAACATCAAAATTGGAATTGAAGGTTGGAATCCCTGTAATTATACTGCAGAACTTGAATCTGAAGAGAGGTCTTTCAAATGGCACACAGCTCCTCATTCTAGGAATAAGACCCCACATATTAATATGCAGAAGTTTAACGGGTTGCTACGTTGGGTGCACAGTGCTTATGCCAAGAGTTAGGTGATTCATAAAGCCAACAGGACCCAGGCAACTCCCTGTCAAACCAACTCATGTAGCACATATCCAAATGGTTTTTTGCAAAATACTCCCCATGAAATTCATTGGATGTGTATTGGATTTTCCTTTTTTGGTAAATGGTCCTCATGAATGTAGGATCCTTTTTGGGTATTACCAACAAAAAGTGCATTTCTTTTTGTTGAACTTAAGACCGACGCGGAGCGAGTTTTTAGGCCTTTTTATGGAGGAAGAAAAAGAGTGAGGTTTTTTATCATTCACTGGACCGGCTCAGGTTGGCGGAAAATGAAGGAAAGAACCAATGGTGATCATTTCTAGTAACTGAGTCAGTTTAAATATACTATATACAAGATTGATCAAGATGTGGTTGAGAAAATGAATAAACAATAATGAATAGAGTAAACCTTTTTGGGTACGGCATCACACCAGCAAGAATGGAATATAACCTAATAGATAAGCAAGACTACATGAGAGAAGAAATATCCTCCTCAGACAGGGTTCATTGACTACAAGCTGGGGGTAACCTTCATAACAGGAGATAGTGTCAGACTATGTAGGAGAAGACTTCTAGTGACTAGTGAGCAGATCCATCATCCAATTGATTACTGAGATTGAGATTGAGGCAGAAGTAAGAAGATTAGAAAACACAGATTTCTCTATGTATCCAAAACCCAAATTTACTGAGAATTACATGAGTCAGTTTGACAGGGACCTGCCAGGGCCCTGAGCCAACAGTGTAACTGATGCAATGCATACATAGGCATCACATCATATCAAGGGAGCAATGAAGGGGCCCTGCATTGCATTGCTTACATCAAGTTTTTGGATAGGGAGCATTGGCATCACTTTGATTCAGCAATGTGATGCACTATAATTTGGCCACACCCATTTGCCTTGCTTTCCAATACAATGCCCATGCAATGCATTGGTATCAAATTAATGTGCATTGCTAAAACAATGTGATGCCAATACATGGCTATTCATCACGTTGTATCACAATTACTGATGGCCCTGTGGGACCCAGGTACCAGTTGGTTTTTGGCCAAAAGCTGGCACCAGGTACCGCTAACAGCACTATCTGGCAGGTACTGGTGGTACTTGAGGCGGGTACCGCCCGACTGCCAGAGATTCTTCCAGGCAACCTGGTTGAGACCAATCAGGTTGCCAAGGAGGGTCCTTACCGGCAACCTGATTGGTCTTAATCAGCTTGCCAAGAAGGGGTCCTCTCCAGCAACCTGACCAAGACCAGTTGGTCTTGGTTGAGCCACCAAGGAGGGGGTTCGGGGGCGGGTACCACTTTCTTTTTTGCCCAAAAGCAGGCACTGAGTACAGCACCTGGTAGTGTACCATCAGGGGTAGGGCGGTACCCAACAGCAGGTGCTGAGTACCGCCAAACAGGTACCCCAAGGCCATCTCTAATCACATTGTTTCACTGTTGATAGAGCCAATCAGACTTATGGGGTTTCTTCCAACAGATATCAATTTCCAGTTGCATTTGCTCTGGCAAGCAACAAAGCTCAAGGTCAATCTCTGGATGAGATTCTATCTGTTTGATATATGAAAAAGGATAGCTGGGTTACCATGTTGGTGGAGATGGATGATTGATAAGTTGGTGTTGGATGAATTATAGGTATGTATAAGTCTAATGATCACTTTGTTTGGTCACTGATCCTCTCCAATCAAATGAGAGGTGATGATAGGTGATGAGATTTAGAAAAGTGATGGTACCCCTTGTGTAAAATAGGACCCAGAAAATTAAGAGTTCTTGGGTCTAAATTGGAATCTGCAGGGCCTGCAGAACTAACAGGAAGTCACCCAGTCTAGACAAGATTTCTTTCATGAGTTGGAGTCCAACACATCCAACTGCAAATTGATGAAGTGATTCACTTTTCATTCCCTACAGTCTTGTGACACAACAAGTTTGGGTTCTGGGACTAGTTGCCCATTACAGCATACCATCATCAATATACTGTATGAAAACCTTGCTCAGTTAAAATCTCAACCAAATCAACAAATTCTAATTTTGATATTCAACATAGAAAAATCAAAACAAATGGAATCTGGAAGGAGCTAGATACTGTTACTCTTTTTCTGTATATGCCCTGCTCCAAACAACACAAACTGCAAGACATGGACTGGATAGTAAGAGCAAAATAAGCCACAAGACATGTCAGTAATGTGCACTGGGAAAAAAAACAAGGCTACAAACTGATCAATTAACCAGAGACAGAGAAAGAGAGAGAGAGAGAGAGAGAAGAAGCCAAAAAACAGGGGGAAAGTAAAATGTATTCCAGGAAAATATAGCCTAAGAAAAGTGTTTAACCATCGTGATTCTCTTGAGTATGATTACATAATAAGAGAACCATCAATAACTTTTTAGGTTGTTCATTTTCAGAACCAAATGCCCTTCTTGTTAAGAAGGATTTGATCTAGGATCCATGTATCAGTCAACATATTCAAGTGGGTTGGTTGCTTAAACCGGTACAATTCCTACCCTCCTTTAACCAAGCAAAAAAAATGAAAATTCAATTCAATTATCCAACACTGAACTCAACCAAAAAATAAAACCGTCCCAAGAAAGGAGGTTTTCTTTTGTCGGTTTGATGTTAAGGTTTGATTTGACTTTTCTTTTTGCTTGGGTGAGGAGGGAGGGTTCCCGATTTCTTGAAGTTGACTTTCTTTGAAAGATCCAAACAGACAAAAGAGAAAGAGAAAGAAGAAGGTGATGATGATGATCAGAGAAAAAGAACTCAGGGACCAACCAGGGCATGTGTATTCGACCTCAAACGCAATCAGTGGTTCTTGGATGCGAGCATGTGACTGGAAAGAGTTCCGTTTGCTCTCAACAAACAGGAAAGAGAAAAGAGATAGATTAGAGATAAGCGATTTGATAAATTCCTTGAAAAAGTTCCTCGTCATCACCAGCTACAGGAGGATCTTGATTAGAACAGAGAACGGGCTGGCCGAGGCTTCTCGGTGTAAACATGGATCGTCCAATCTGATATATGGAGCCCTGCGCCAGCTTCTTGAGTAACAGATCAAAGTGATCTTCCGGTAGACTCATTTCTCCTATCCTTCGATCTGAGCCTTGAGGAGCACTTTTGCAACTTGATACAGATTGCATCGGTGTACCATTTTCAAACTGTTCCAGCTTCCTAGCATATCAAACAACACACAAACGAGTCATGAGTCGATCAAATCTAGATTGGTGTGTGTCGTAGGCAGGAAGAAAAAAAAATAGACTTACTTTTGATTGTCCGACGAGGTGTCCCCATTGAATAAAACATACATGAGTTTAGACCGTTTTAGTTTCTGTTGAGAGTTTTGGATAGTCATAGGTCGACAACGGATCCACACTGTAGGACAAAAGATCCACAGCTATACTCATCTCAACACGGATGGAGCCAGAACCAATCAGAATCATGCTTGGTTGTCGCCTGCTGTTCCTGAATCGAGAGAATCACCTACACCGATCGCTCTCGTATCAGCCAAGTTCTTGATCAAAACCTTGTAAAATCCATTGGATTCAATCAATTTTGAGATTTCATCCTGGATCAAGGAAACTTCAAATCCGCGATGATTGTCTTTATCGTACTTTGAATCACAATCGTTCGTCAATCTGATTGCACGTTTATAGAGCTTGATCCATCTTCTCTTCGATCCGGATGGGCAACGGTTGGAATTTTCATCGTGGTTGTTGGCTGGAGAGGTGGCTTCTTGACTTTCAATTGTTTCTTTGGCGTAGCTTTCTTCAACTTCTCCCAATGTGAAACAGCACTGATTGCACTCTACATAGTGCCTTTTTCGAGACTGATGGGCTGCGTTTTCACGCTTTGGGGGTGAGATGAGAAGGGATTCAGGCCAGGACCATAAGGAGCCGGCAGAAACACGGCAGTTATCAGCTCTCTGACACGCACACAACCCATCGATCTCAGATAAAGGCGAGTCTTAGAGGAAGACATATCAAGTTTTAAAAGGACGAACCGATTGTCTCCTCCATCCTACCGTTTTAGACTTGTTCTTATCAGAAACAATCGCATCAATCCAATTGAGGTCGAGCTCCAAAAACCAATCGCCAAGGAAGCCTTCATTTCTTCTGGGTTTCCTCAATCCATTCCCGCCACTCCCATCGTCACCTGATTTGAGTTTCATGTCTTCATGACAGACCCAATACTCGACAAACTCCTCCCAATCTTCAGACGGAAGAGCAAACCATTTCGTACCCGCGTCGTCCAAGCCGTCCACCAGTTCGTTCGCACATCGTCCACAGCATATGCGTCCGACCCCTTCGTTCTTCAACTTGCTCAATCCAAATCGATCCGTGTTGTCCTCGAACCTGTCCATTCGAGCCTTGCTTTCCTGAGGACAAGTCTTCAACCCGATCTCGATCCTGCTCCTCGTCTTGACTTCGATCGTGTGTTGTGACAAGTCGAGCTGAGTCCCGACATCGATCTCGATCAGCTCGTTTCCGATCGCAACCAACACTGCGTCCGCGGACTCCTTTGCTCGAATCCGAATATCTTCAAGTGCCGATTGGTCTTTAGCCGCTCGTGGACTCTCCCGCCATAGCCAAATCCGGACTCTTCCGATTCGCGTTTGTGCTTCCAGGGCCCAGTTCCAGTCGTTTTCGGCTGCTATAGTTGGTCCGTCCTCGTGAGCTTCTTAGAATTGAAATGATTATATAAAAAAAAGGGTTATTAGTCAACAGTTTAGGGAATAATCGGAAAGCAGTCGGCCCTAGAAGGAGGGGGTGAAGGATGGTGAAGGTTACACACATGGCATGGCCCTGTGCTGAGATATCGAGGGGGGTAAATAGTCGGCAGAGTCGGCTGGAAATTTCGAGCCCGCACTGTCTCGGCTGTTTGAAATCGGCGGACGGCACGGGATAGACCGAGACGGGGGCTGGTGCCCCGGGGCTGGCCAACAGAATTGTACTCTCCTCGGCGCCGGATGCACCAATTCTGCAATCCCCTTCTTTTGATAAGTCAATTTATCTCCCAACTCTCATTGCGATGGCATCTTCAACTTCGATGGACGAACTGTCTCCGACGCCCTCTGTTGGCCCTTCCATCGAGTTCTCCTTGGCAAACGGACAGGTCTGTCTCTTCCTCTCTCGCATACAATATTTCTTTTTTCTTCAGGTGATTGATATTAATGTATTCACATTGGTTGTGACGAAAATTTCGAACAAAAACTATCAACAGATATTTCAACGAGTTGAGTTTCCATCAGGCATATCCACACATCTCAGAAACGCATGGAGGCAAAGCAGCAGGACTGATCACGAGTTTGAGGGGATTTGAACTGTCAAAAACAGGTGATCGAAAATCCTGCTCGGTTTAACTTGACTCCGACCGATAGACTCTTACTGGAAGAAGGCAGGCAATCGATGATCAATCGCACACGTTATGGGTCAGCATTTTTATTTTTATTTTTTGACCCAAATGTATCAAAACAATTCCTTTGGGCATGCCGATTTGCAACATTAGTTAAGCGTTTCAATCCTGGACCGACCCAAAAAATTGAGTTTGGAACAGATTCTTGCTTGGAGCCACTTTATCGCCACTACCTCTATTTCGGGGCCAATATGCTATCAACAACCTACGGAAACTACCACCACTAATGGACCGAGTAACGCAGAAACCCAATCCAGCAGTGATACGTGCGCGACTATTTTGGATCGCCCAATCAGTTGTTCTGACGACTCTGGGCTCAGGATTGGGGACCTGGCTTGGATTCAAGCTCGGCTTAAGATCCATGGAACGCAGTCTGAGCAGTCACCCTGGATGTCGTGAGCGCGTGATGGAGGCCTTCAGCCAGGCGCGTAAAGAGCTGGAGTCTGCTCCGCTTGACCAACAACCATCTTTGACGGCACGAAATCTACCTTCAAGCCAGCCTTCTCAACGTATGACGATCCAAAACGAAAACCACGATCGATCATTTCAGGACCAAGAGGAAGACCTGCTACGACCATCACCCAGAGACTTGTCCAACTTGAACAATACTAGCCAAACTCCGGATTCTCCTCAAACGTTCTACGAGCCTGCAGGATCGTCTAGATGGGAACAATTGAGGAGATCCCCTCAATCTCATCCTTCCACTTGGCAAACAATCAGAGAGCAAAACTTGAAACAACCTCCTAACCTTTCCTCCCCATCTAGCTCATCTGCTCTGGAAACATCCTCTGGATTTGATGGTCGTCCTTCTCCCCTCGGATCTTCGAACCTCGACCCACCACAGTCCCAAGATGAATTCGAAAAACTGCTCGAACGGGAGCGGAATTTAAGTGCTGGTCTCCTCCACCCTTCCAACCGCTATTCATCCACCAAGCCTTGATCTCTCTTCTCTTTCGCTCTCACCCACATTTTTTTTGGCAAATGTGTTTCTTCCCTAGGCTCAAAGCGATGTAGCTCTAACAACGAGATGATCAACCCCATGTGATCTCACTATTAACCCTATATCCTTGGAAACTAAAAACAATTGCTCTATCGATTGATTTATGCCATAAATCATAATACCTCTTTGTCATTTTATCATTAAATTAATAAAACAAAAAAGAAAAAGATGCCGACAAAACGTGAGTCCATGTTGTAAGGAGATAACGCACAACGCCTCTGTCTCAAGATGGCGGCCCGGCGCCTGGCGCCAAACGCGCCCTGCCTCACTAGAGGCTACGAGGCTTGTTGTTCGGTCTGTACACTGGCGCGCATGGTAAATGCCACCACCAGCCGATATTTATTGGCTCGTGTATCAGGTGTGTATCTCGGTCTGGAAGCGGCTTCAGGACATGACTGCCGTGTTGTAGGGCCATCAGAGACTTGTGTTGTGCATCACTTTGATCCCTCCTGAACCAGCCTCTCTTTCCAAGCTACGACCAGAAAATCCGGTAAGCCTGACACTTTATCTACCTCTATCCCACACGGTATATGGCTGACTTGTACTCTAGTTTTTCAGCGTTACCACCGGCACCATGCACATCTTCCGATCGATCGTCGTCTTGATCTCTGTTTCTTACGCGCTAGCCGAAGAGGATCCCGGTCCTCCAATCAATCCGACCCGATTCGACTGTCCCCCGCAACACACGACGGCCATTTGCGCCAGCGGCCACCCGGAAACCGGACTTAAGGGCAGGGCGGCAGTCCGCAACTTCATGGGCCCCACTTGCGTGGGCAGCGGCTTCCCGAATTGCGTCTGTTGTGTGGGCGGGGTGGTCATTTTTAACGGGGTCAGCATCTTTTTTTTTTTTTTGCAAGGTTTTTGCATTTGAATCGCCACTCTTTTCTTTTCTTGACGTACAACATCACAATAAGTTTTCTATTCCCGTGCACCTCTCACTGCATGATCATTACTCACTTCCGCTTTCTACCTCCCAAAAAAAACCTCTGTATGTAGGCTGGTGAAGCCTTCGTCCCCGCCGAAGCGTTCGGATCCAAAAAATGCACCATCTCCCACGACCACCATTGATCGGAGTCCACGATGGAGCTCGGCGGACTGTCTGGGGTGGCTTCAGAGCATCGGCCAGTTGGTATACCATCTTGTTCTTAGAATAGAATAGTAGCTACAGAGATTTAGATTTTATCCAATACGAATCATCGAGCCTTTCTTTCCTCCCAAAAGAATGACCCAAAAATGCTTCACAGTCTGTTCCATAAATCGTGCCCACATCTTACATTCACGTTTCTACAATCTCACTTCAATCATACGAATCTCCAAACATGGTCGAGACCATCTCCGCCGGCCGTTGCCTCGCGCCATTGATAATAAGAACAAACATTCCAATATCTAACCAGATCCCATCGGTGTCCTTAATGTGTTTTGATAACTGATATCAGATCGGGAGCTCTCGATGTCCTTTTTTTTGGGGGGGGGGGGGGCGAGTTCAACATTTTGTGAATATTGGACACAAAGTTCATGGTCTCCATGGCTAAAACGAGGTGGATCGTGTTCGTCTGACTGGTGGTTTGCGGTCTGCTTTCACATGTAGTCCTTGTTCAAGCCACTTCAGATGGATATGTACACTTTCTTGATCTGTGTCCCCGATCGCGAGTTGAGGCTCGCTGGACTAAGAAGCACTTCATCCGCACATGTGAAATTCGACAATCTCTTGGAGTTATGGATCATTATCCTAGTGAAGCCGGCGCGGATTTTGATCAGCGAATCAGCTTGAAATACGGTGATCGGAACTAGCGCGCATTGGTCTTGGGTTGCTGCCGGTCGATCAACTCGAAAGAGCCGGGTATGTGATAATGTGTCGTTTTGGGGAGGCTTCAGAGACGGCTCTGATGGAAACCCATGGGCTTGATTCGATAGCCTCGTCTGATGGGTTGAGTGATGCAGAAAGTCTTGTTTTTTTTTTCTCGTCGTTCAGGAGCTGCAATGTGTGTGTGTGTGTGTGTGATGTTGTACTCCGGATGATGATGATCGCGAAACGCCGAATGAGCCAGAAGACTTTGAAAGTGCAAAATGTATTTATTTATCTTGTCTATCCACACAATCCGGACCCCCCCCACACAGTCTCCTCTCTTAACACAGTGTCCAAGCCCAGACATCGGCCCCTACATAATTCTGTTTTTCAGTCATCCCGAGCCGTCTTGGCTGTCCATCGGTTCGGCCCGCGAAAGTTGAAGGAGCTCGTCGACTGAAATCGGTATGCAGTATCCTCTATTCGGAATTTCGATTTGAGAGCCTCTTGGGGGGTAGTCGGCCTTGGCAAGCCTTCTTTTTCTTCGCCTCTTGGACCAGCTGACCGGGCTTGCTGTGCGCGGATTGTATTATTTTTGGCAGTGCGCTTGCAGGATCATCCCCCCCTCACGATCCCGTCTCATCATCATCCTTCCAAAAGCTCAGCCGGAAGTCGGCCATAGTATTTAAGCTGAGGCCTCCAGAAGCCCAGCTCCCCTTCAACAGATCACAAGACCCGCTGCGCCTCTTTGAAAGTCGTGCATAAAAAGCTATCGTATTTGTCGAACAAGCAGATTTATCCCCGAAGGCCCGTTAAACTTCGACGGTCACCTGTTCTCATCTGTCTGTCGTCTGCAAGGGTTTTGTTCGGCTCAGATCAGGCTTTCCCCAATCAATCACAAACACCCTCACCAGCAGCTGCGTGAGTTCCCGATCCAGCTGATCAGCCCCTCAAATCGCAAATAAAACTGTTCCCTCGGGTCCTGATCATCATCATTTTTGTTGGTCGAACCAACCAACCCATTGCCTGATGGACATGAACCATTCTGCTTCCTCAGCCAACAATTGTTTTCTTTTTTTTTTCAATAACTCAGCTTAGTGATCTCCGGATTCCCAGTCTCTCAGTCAGTCAACCAGCCAGCCATAGTGGGCCATCGAGTTCAGCATAATTCAACTGGTGATCTGGTGAGCCCGCTTGAACCCTTTCTTTCGTCCAGGTCCACCCACCTCAGGCCGTCGACCTAGACCTACCAGGCTGGCTCTTTTCGGGCCCGAATCCAGCCAGATCACTCTGTAGTGTGCTATGAACGATTAATAGTTTCCTGAGCACTGCATATAAAAGAGTTACATCTTCCCGCCTCACACTCCTTCATCCTGCTCACTCCACATATCTTGAAGCTCAATCATCATTATATATCCCTCTCAAGCTCCAGCCATCAATTCCTCTTAAAAACTGAACTGGATAACCACGCTTACCCATATATGCATATCACCTCATAGTCTCATACAGAACGAAGAATCCTAAAAACAGGGGTATCCTAATTTCGATCCGAGTTTTTCTCTTCTTCGCACTAAAAACGCTAGTCAAATCTCATCCAGCTTGAGCCTTCAGTTCTACATATTCGCCTCTCTCCCTCCCTCCTGCCCAGCAGCCAATCTACACACCACACATCCATCCATACAACCTCCTACAAACCCACAGTACACACATCCAAGATGATCCGCCCTTCAATCATCTCATGGCGTCTCGCAGTCCATCCAGTCGTCCTCTTCTACCTGCTCGCTTCTCTCTTAGCACCCGTCCCCGTCGAAGCTCGCGAATGTTTCTGGTACACTGACTCTCTGGGTCGTCGGAGACGGAGGTGTCGTGGCTTGGTCTCTGGGATCATCGTCGCACTCGTAAGTAGATTTCTATCACTGATTTCTTCATCAAATTATTGCCACGCATCTGACTGACTGAAACAAATTCGTAATTTTTCCTCTGTGTCCATAGGTGGTTGGCTTGTTCGGTAAGTGAATCTCCTTCCTGGAAGCTCGGGCCGAACGAGCTCTACGGAGAGCTCAGTGCGTTCGGAGATATGATGCAGATCCAAACTGATCTTTGCCCATCTCCCCATACCATTTTCGGATCTCCCAGTCATCTTAGCCTTCCTGTCGCTGGCCTTCGTCTTGCGTCGCCGTCAACAACGGGCAACGCTCGAGAGCGGCGCGGTGTTCACCCAACCTGGGACCAACAACCTGATGAGCCAGCAGCAGCCTCCCGCCTATCCTCCACCCAGCTATCCCGCACCCCCGCCGGCAAACCCTCCCCCAGCGGCCTACTACAAGCTCGAGAAAAACGAGGCCGGCGCCCAGGATCCTATCCAGCCTCCTCCTCCCGCTAATCTGGCCATTCATCATGCTGGTCACTAAAAAAATATATGTATATATAATTCCAACCCCGTGCTCTCTACCCGGGTTCGGTCTCACCTTGCCTTTCATCCTCCAAAATCCTCTCTCAGTCCTGTCTTTATTTTCCAGTAATTGTTTTCTTTTTTATTACAAAATCATCACAGCTCCACTCCAAGCTCAACCAATCCTAAACAAGCAAAACATTTGGGAGAGGGGACATTGCTCACAAAATTCAGATTGTACATCAGTTTTTTTTTTTTTTGTCTTGCTCACCAAAAAAAAAACATCAACAACAAAGGAAAACAGAAAACAAATTGTAGCGGGTGTCCTGCTTCCTGACAACGCAACCATGTGGCTTTCACGTTGGACGTGCTATGTACACAAAATGTCGAAATATATGCTTCATTTGTACAATCTTTTTTTAGTACTTCCAATACATCTTTTAGGCTCTTGGCGGCTTGCAGTCGGACCAAGCGAGTTGAACACACCCATTGACTGAATTTCACTGCGACATACTAGGCTTGAATTTGCCTCTAATGAGGTCGAGGGATACGATTGTCATCCGCGTATCGATGAAACACCGGCCTGCTTGAAAGAACACCTGCAAGTTCGACCAGGATTGTGTTGCCAGCGGACAGCTCGGTCGTCAAGTGGGTTGATGATGTGGCCGCCCATCGATTCGGAGAGTCTCCAACCCGGACGCCACTCCACCCCAGTTTGTGGTCGTTGCCATCGGCGTAGGCTTCGTTTTCAGACACCGGTAGGACTAGAGTAGATGGGATGACGAATGCTCTTTCCATCAGGGCTCACCCTCCTCTTTTCAGTTGTCCCCCCCCTGCTCCCCTTCCCATTATCGGACCCTCGAAACCGACTTCGACCCCCAGCCTGCGCTTTGCTCGCGTTTTTCTGGTTGGTCACCCCCTAATCATCGTCCCAGCCTCCCGTCTCACCGGGTTCATTCACGCTCGTCTCGACTCCCCCCCACCCCACTGCTCAACACCTTCTCCCTGGCCAACCGATCGACTCCAAATTCTCCAAGGGCCTGGTCGTCCGGGCAATGAGAAGCAGACTCGATCGTCCTTATTATTACCTTCATCTCCCCTCCTTCCTTCCCCTCCCATCATTCATCCCCGGATTCTCGATCTTGTTCACTTACCACACCAACAGACATTCTTTCTTTCGCACAAACAAAACTATACAGACACACCTCACGTTCTTTCTTTCTTTTTTTTTTCTTGGCATATCTTATAATTTGTGTGTGTGTTGGCCTGATTTCTGACTTCAAGCCCGGCCCGACTAGTTCAAAGGTCTACAGGAATCAACGTCAATTGGTCTATAATTCAGTCTTTTTGTTAGACCCGACAATTTAGCGTACATACATTTATAAGACTCTGAAGAGAGGAGCATACATCTATCCACCTCTCAGTCGGAGATTGTAGCGTTGGTTTTTTCTGGAGCCTTTATACATTTTGCAGCCACTAATTACACCCGGCTGGCGGCGTCGACACTCTCAATCCTTCTACAATTCCTAATCCCACTCTCTTTTCGGGCTTCTCCTCATCCCACTAGTCTCAAAGTAGAAGCATCTCAAATAACTCACAAAAACTAACCCAAAAAAATAAGTAAAATAAAATAAAGCAAACAAAAAAACAAGCATCACAATCGAACGCCAGTACATATTCACACTATCATCTTCATCTTCAAAACCCTCCTGTCTCTATCTTGCCTATCTTCCTTATTTTTTCTGGCCACCACGGCACAACACACCCCATCATCAACAGCCGCTGTAGATAGCAGTCACCCCCTCACGATTGCGTGTTCTTGAGCTTTATATAGATTTTGTTCTGTAGATGTCTGCTCCATTCACTTTTCTCTGAATAATTTGTTGTTGTCCAAGAAACTGCATGAAAACAGACTGAAAAGAAGGTGACTTTGGTTTTTTGTTTTTTCTTTCAAAAGGGATGCCAATAAACGCCCGAAGCTTTAAATTCATCAGCATCATCATCTTCAATCCACTTGCCGCTTTCCGACTAGCTGTTGTTGTAGCCCTCTGACCATCATCATCAATCATCAATCATCAATCATTCATCATCGCAGCCACAACCGACAATCTACCTCCAAACATAAAAAAAAACCCCGCCCCGCAGCTCTGTCAACAAGCCTCTACTTTCCATTCCGCCTTCCTCCATATTTTAAAGGACAAAAAATAAGAAGAAGGAAAACCAGCTCCATCTTGTAGCTCTTGATTGATAGGCAAACGCTTCCGCTGGGAAAATCTTTCTCCTATATTGTATTTGAAGGCTGTCTATAGACCTCTTTCCCGGCCCCGAAACCGTCCTGTTTTCCCACTCGGTCATTAGGCCTCTTCCGTTCGATATATCCACTCCGCCCTAAGGAAACCGTCTCCCAATCTCCTCTGCCCCCTCCCCCTCAAGTAATCTTTCCCTAAAGATACCCAAGTCGGTGAGTTCTGGCCCACGGATAACCCGCCATGAAAAAAAAAATGATGCCTTTCAAGCATTGGATTGATCGAACAATCTTTTCTTTCTTTCTTTTGACCTTTGTTTTGTCATTCTTTTGAAATCTACTGGTGGCGATTCTGGGGCTCAAGAGACACAATCAGATGGTCAATTTCCCCAATGCCCTCCAACCACCACCCTCAGGTATAACATTGCCTGACCGATTTGTACCGCTGACGCAACCGACGGGAGGCAGCGGTGGTAATACCGCGGCATCCGTTCCCGCAGCCCCGGCGCGGACGACGGGAGCCAATGACACCTCGGCCTCCGGAACCCCATCATCGGCAGTCTCAGCGGCGGACAACAACAACAGTAGCAGTGCTTCGAGCCTTTCAGCCACCAGTCCGGACGTCTCCGCCATCAACGTCGCCCTGCCGGCCTCCAACAACACCCTGCTCGTCGACCCCAACTCCTCGGTCTCCCAGGATCCCGCAGCTACCAACGTCGGCCAGCACGTCTTGAATAACCAGGGCGAGGTCGACGGCTCGGCTATCGGACTCGGCAAAACCGAGCAGAACCCAAACGCTCTCATCGATGCGGACAATCAGGGACTCAGTCCGGGTGCTAAAGCCGGCGCGAGTAAGTCGTCGTTTCCTTATCATAGCTCCCCATAACCAGGGGCAGGAGCAACTTGCCTTCATTTCTTTTTCCGAAGCCTGACACATCTTTCAACAAAAAAAAACAACATATTCATGTAGTCGCTGGAACACTCGTGACTTTCTTCATCCTGGTTGCGATCGCGTTTGTGGCCCGAAAGCTGCACCGGTCGAAGGCCCACCAACGCCAAGTCGAGCGCCACAGCACGATCATCGAGCGCCAACGGAGCTCCTCGTTGACCGACCACCATTCCGACTGCATCATCCATCCTCACGCCCATTAATCCTTCCTTCTTCTTTTCTTTCACAGTTTGTATGTACATGCTTACAAGAAAAATCATTCACCAAAGCATGACTCGCGGCCCGTTTTTTTTTTTGGTACGACCGGGTCTTGGACTTTTGCAGCTGCTTATAATTACAACTTGCAGTCAGACCCCCGCTCTGTGGATTCTTGGGTGGACGTGGCTCCGATTGCGCGATTCGAACGGTGTAATATATAACGTATATGTAGATAGATCTCTCTTTTCTTTTTCTCATCCTCTTCAACTTGTTCTTATTCATCCTACACTCATACATACTTACTTACCTTGCATTCCACAAGTTTCACAGCTTCAAAAAAAAAAAAAAAAAAAAAAAAAAAAAAAAAAAAAAAAACTGGGCCACTCGCCCATTCACACTTCCCCCTTTTCTTTCCTCTTCTTTTCTCCATTTGCAACTTTCATTTTTGTTTTTTTGTTTTTTATAAGTCGACACTTTTTTTATTAATCTCCAAAACAAAAAAAGGTCGAACACCGAGAGAAAAAAAAAAGCAAGGAGGGGAAAGAGTTTGAGTTGAAGAAACAGACGGTTGGGCAAATCGTGGCTTTCATGATCGCCCGATCTCCCCGATCTTCCTGAGAGAGACGCTGGAGAGAATTACACAATGAATACAATATCAAACGCCCTGGGCTCTATCGTCTGAAGACTGAGACAGAGGCAAAGAAAGTGAGCAAGGCATGAGGGCGATGTAAGCATCGTCGCTTCTTATTAGCGCCTGAAGGAGATAGATCCGTGTAGTTCCATCTTCGGTCGTCACCCGGTCACCGACTGGCCAAATCACTCAACCTTGCATTGAAATCTCAACAGTTTCGAAGCGTTTCGCCGGGCTTGTCTAGAGTTTGTAGACTGATGAGAATATTCGGGAACTGGCGAGCTGGCCGGGGTGCCTAAACCGGACAACGATCGCCTAAAAGCTGCAGTCTATGTATTAATGTTGATCGTCATTGGGGCCAATTAGCACTTGTTTACCCCTGCTTAAAACTCAAAATTCGAATCACATCATGTCTATCTTTCCTGGTTCGGCCAAGGTCTGGAGGCACATAAGTTGTGGGGTAGGTAGCGATCGGAGCAGCATAGTGCCGTCGAGGGAGCCAGCCGACCGAGAATTGAGCTTTGAAAGTAAAGTCCACATAGGCTTGACTTTCATCAACCGGAGTTAGCAATCCCGATGGAATCCAGCGAGCAGTCGGTCTGCGTATCAGTTCATGAGCTGATGGACGGGGTCGCCCGTTGCTCAGCGAGATTCTGACGAGTTTTTTTTTACAGCAATTATTCGTTTGTATCAGCTGGGGCATTTGTCCAAGTGTGCAGGTCCTGTGTATCGTAGAAAGATGATTGTTACGATGGAAGGGTCACCGGAAGCTCACTTCGAGCTTCAGTCGGTAAGGACGACCGAGTTATATGCAGAGACAGACATAGTTTCATTTATACTCGTTGCGGCCTCATCAGCTCGACCGAGCTTTGAACGAATAACCAAAACCGAAGCACAAAAGCAATCCGCAATCCCCCCCCAAAAAAGGAACTCTCAATCTTTGACCCAAAAGACTTGATGCGCTAAAGCGAGAGTGCCATATGGGCAAGAAATACGCAACTTAAGCTCTCGTGCAAGAAGGCTCTATTTGGAGGCCACGCTTTTTTTGGTTGGACGGACGACCCATGTGGAGACTTCATCAACCATCCTCGATTTGCCACCCTGATCCCAAAGAATTCACCCCGTTGGAAACTCGCCAAGAAAAAAAAGAAAAGCTCGCTAGTTGCTAGCAAGTGTGATGGTTCAAGCATTCCCTAGCCTCATCCATAATAACAATGTGCGCATCACTTTAATTCTCGGCTTGTGTCCTCATGTCCTGAGCAGATCCAAGATATTTGGCTTTTTTTATTTTATTTTATTTTCGCTAATGGTTTGTGCTTTCACACTCAACAACTTGACTATCGTTGGTCATCATTCACCCTTGTGTCTACGCCGGCAGCCAGACCTTCTCTTTCAAATTCTCCTTGTTTTTCGGTGGTGGAGTCATACGCACCGATTCACCCTTCGGATCCACGCCGTGAAATCTACCTAAACGATTTCTCTGGAGTCCTATCAACTAAGTGATTGCTTCCAAACCCCCAGAAATCAAAACCCACACGCGAAAAGCGATTAGGAATCAGGATGAGACTTGCCGCCGAACGCTTCCACCTCTCACGGCCTTCCGGGACTAGCGGGCGGATCTTGTATACGATCCTCTTGGGACTCATCTTGTGTACGATATCCATCCGGTCTCAATCCAGCCTCACAGAGGGGAGCCAGGACTCACCAACGACCACAGAAAGCATTCCAGTTCAACCCAACACGACGACCTCCCCCAGCTCGAACGATTCTTCAGCAGTCTCGACGAGCACCCTTCCATCATCTGCAGGCCAATCGAGTCCGCTGCCTGGATCGAGCCCCAACGGAACAACTGCGGATGACGGCAACCAATTCGGCTCGAGTTCCGACAATCCTCCCGACCTGGCTGGCACCCAAACTACTGCCACCACTCTGCCCGCTAACACAAGCACCTCAACCTCAGTCTCCCGAAGCTCACAGCCCGTACCGCCCCCAAAACAGAGTGCCGGCGACTCCGGTGGGCTTTCAGGGGGTGCCGTGGCCGGGATTGTGTTTGTTTCAAGTAAGTTATAAAACATCAATGCACTCAGCTCTCCTGTTCACCCCAAGAACACAAAGATCTTGATCCAAAAAATCGAAAACCATTCGAAGGACTGCATGAAATTCGCGAAAGAAAGTGACTGACAAGTCACCACTATAATGTGCTTACCAGTTGTAGGAGGAGTCGCGTTATTTGCGGGAGTGATAATGTACTTCAGGAGGCTCGAACGATCGATCGCCCAAGACAAGAGAGAGATCCGCGAGAAACAGGCGCGCAGGTACAACCAGCTCGAGCAGAACCGACACACTTCTTATATCCCCGGGAACCAGCCCCAGCCGTACGAACTATAATCATCCCTTGCCCGCTGGCTTTCCGGAATCGCCCGTGAGATGAGCATCGATGGGCTTGACCATACTGCAGATCCACTCACTCCTGTGTTGTTGTTGTTGTTGTTGTTGTTTTTTTCGACGGCAGTCTTTTGATATCCTATCCCAATAAAACAAAAATGCTTTGCATTTGCGTAGAGGCATCTTCCGTATCTTCCTCAATGCCTCATGCCGGTTCGTCCTGTTCCTTCTTGCCAAAATCAAGCCATCAACTCGATCAAACACTGTACTACCAAAGAACAAAACAAACAATCGAGCATGAAGAAGTAACTGGATCATATATCCCTTAATTTAAGCACTTAGTTCGTGTCAATAGTGTGTATATCATCAGAGTTCAAACCAAAAGTAAATCAATCAATAAATTAATCAATCTTGAAGATTCCATGCTTTATATATTGGGCTTCTTTTTCCATCATCATGGAAAGTCTGTGAGGGTTTGTTTTTCTGCTTTTGGATGAATGAGTTGACATTCTGATGATTTATAAGACTGAAGGAACCTTTGACTGAGTTAGACTCCCCTAGAAATTAAAGAAAGGACATCATAAGACAAGCCAGGAGGGAATCCAGATACTTTTGGGGAGATGAAAATAAACAGAGATATCTTATGGTAGTTACTGAAAATGGAAACATGCAGAGGAGTGCTACTTAAACCATCTGTTTATTTGATTGGAATTAATCTGGCCTATAAAATTGGACAGGTTGGGTGGAAGTGAACACTGATACATGTTCATATCCTTTATGGAGAAAGAAAATTGCTACGTTCATGGTCCATCTTCACAGATGTGCCAAACTGATTACAAGCATCAAGAAAAAAGATTAAATGCATGATGATGTTCCTTGTGCCTCTTTAACTTGATAACAGATGATCCCTGGCAGCTCCATGGTTCATCTGTCCACATGGGTGTAAGATATAAAAAAAAATTGCTATTGGCTTCAAAAGAGTCTTTCCTCATTCAATTTCTTGTAAATTTGAACAATTGGTTGTAATTGCAGAGAAATAAGGTTGTCCGCATGCTTTTATCTCAATAATTCATTCACCAAATATGTCTTTCTCATCTAAATAGTATCCATTCAAATCTTCCACAAAAAAAAGTACTTGAACTTTAAAATTGATGAATGCTGATAAACAAAATATAGTTGTGTTTCCAAAATTAAGTTTGTGATGTCAATACATACATCCCGTGTTTTCGAATTCGAAGACAAGCAAAAACTATCAAACGAAATTGTATCATCTGACAAAACAGCAAGATATTTGTTGATTGTTTGAATTAATCTATGAAGATCTTTGGAGGTTTTCAGTGTTGTTTTTATTGATATCAGGAAGATAAACAATGATAAGATTACAACAATTTGGTGTGATGGATTGGTTTAAATAGTCTCTTGATACAGCGCATACTGTATGGATTGGTTTAAACAGTCTCTTGATACAAGGTATGATGTACACCTGCTTGCGATTTATGATTGATTTTCTCACATTTTTTGTGCATGGGTTCTTCTTCTTTCAGGGAACAGCGAAGCGAGTCTGCGAGAGATAGAGCACTTCACTCGACTTGGATGAGAGCACAAACCATACGATGATCGCTGGCAAGCGGCTCGTTCTGAAACTGATTTGGAATAACGCCGTACTTGACCACTTTCCAAAGCGACGGAGGCCTTGGCATGATCATGATAAAGTCGATCACTTGGGCATCCCTTGGGTTGTTCTGAAAGCCGGTGAATGTCGCTTTAAATGCACCGTACGGTCGTCCCACCTCCGATCCACAATCTTTGAAATGTTGAATCGATTGTCTGGCTACTACAGCATCGTGGTGTGGGGGTCTTCCAGTCAGGACCTGTTGCGAAGGTTCGACACAAGAGGATTGGGCTTGACCGTGGACTCGCTCGAGTCCAGCGGCACAATATTGTGACGATTGATCCGTCGGTTGGAGTGTCCCATCATCCGATGTTTTTCCGGTAAGGACCTTGTACGCAGCCTCTTGACTAGGGGCGTTGAAGTCGCCCATCAGGAGTATTGGAAGACCAGTCTCAGTTATCAATTCATTCGCTTTCCGTAAGATCAATTTTGCTGATTCGGTCCGAGCTGATTTTTTTTGTTTGTTTCGTTTTTTGAAATTGGCGGGATGATCGACCACTTGCATCAGCATGTCATATATCTTTCGCCGTTTCATTTGAGAAGATCGAGTGCTCGAAATACATACCTTTCAAACCACGATCATCGAAGTGCGTGTTCATGACGAAAAATGGTGGTTTTGATTCCTCATCAGGGCTCACGTCTGCCGATATCGGTTGTAAATGGACCAAAGTCACCATCCTGGTTTGGCCCTAAGTGATAAACGGTTTCGATTGATAATCAGTGAAAGTGAGGGCCAGTCTCAAGCCTAATTTGAGTGAGATTCTGGAGAAAAAAAAAACAAAATTCTTACAGCGTCCCAACCGATCGAGCCAGGTACGTCGGGCTGATCGGACAGCCAAAAATGTTTAACGCTGAGAGCTTGGAATTTATCCGTCCTCCAAAATAACGGGACGTATTCGCCACGGGTGACCCCATCATCTCGTCCGACTCCCACCGAAGTATATTGTCTGAAGAATGCTTGGTCTTTGAGGTCGTGATACTGATGCTCGAGCACTTCCTGGAAGCCGATGATATCCGGCGATTCCCAGTTGATTTGGTCCATTATCAACGGCAGTCGACTCGCCCATGGTGCCTCGCCATCGCCCGCAAGAAGGATCTGGTTTGAGGCTAATTGACTGCTAGGCTTGAATGGAGAGTATCGAATGTTGAAAGTGGCGATCTTCATCAATTTGTCTGCTATCTGGACCATCTCGAAAGCTTGTGATTTGTGTTTTGATTTTTCAAGAATCGATCAGTCCGAGCCCTGGGGTCTGATGAACTTCAACACCGAAAATGGAGGCAGCCAACAGGAGAAGGCCTCCTCTGAGTGGTGCCAATCCAACAGATTGCAAATGAAAATGGAAATGTACCATCAATTCATAAACCACTACCATAAACAAAAATCAACCTCCTCTCGATAATCAAACAAGATGCTGGGTTTTTTGTACAAAATAAAACAATACCAAAAATACATACCAATCAGAAATCTGCACATGTGCTTAAAAGACTCTGGAAACGTAGCCAACTCAACTCCCCTGATCAAAGGTGCAAGGTACTTCAGTGCTAGAGTAGGGATCCTTCTGAGCTTCTCGCTTTTCCTTTTGTCGTACATAGCTATACCAAATAGTCCCTCATGGAATGTAAAAAAAAAATGCTGATGCTTTGGTTGGCTCTTGATTTTTTTTTTCTTATAAAAACAAATATATATGGGAAAAGTTAGTAGTGGTATTCCATGTATGGCTCAATTTTGACTACTCCTTTTTTGAGAGTATAGAGTCTTCAAAGGACTTGTTTTGTGAGTGACCCTACACCTTCAAGACTTTCAAAGCCAGAGGTTTCTCATGTGGGTTTGAGGGAGATTCTGAGCGGACCATGAGACTTCAGGAAGTTGCCTAGTGAGTAGAATTACTCGTTCCTTACAAAGAATCCAGACTTAATTTTCTTGCATATTTCTTCAAGAGACTTATAATTTTCTTTATCATTTCTAAAAACACCACAAAAACAAAAATTTATTATTTCTAGTCTCAAAATCTGTCTGATACATAAATTAAACAAAAAAACAGTCTCAGAGTATAAAAAGTCCAGTTTCATAAAAAATCAACGCAATATCCGTGGCATTCTCTAACAAAGTTGCTGAACCAGCAGGGAGCCTAGAAAGTAGCAGGGAATCTTTCCCAGCAAGCAGCTTCTCGCCGAAGAAGATTCCTTCCCCGGCGGGGTTCCAACTAATTCCAAGCTGTAAAGCGCTGCCCATGGGGAACAGTGAAGATCGTGGTCGAGCGGCGGGATGAGAGGATCTCGGAGGAAGCCAGCCATGCTCATCATGCTTGTTTCTCTCGGTCTTTCTTAGACCAAGCCTACATAATTTCCTGCACACTCCTCTTTGAGGGGTTTCCTAATTGGCACGAGTCGGTGGATGTGACAAGGCATCTGAACTGGGATGGATGATCCTACTCTAGCGTGTTGCCTCGGATATTTATTGCGCATCTAAACCCCCTCATATAGATGGGAGTAACCACAGCTTTGTGCCAAGTCTGGAGAAGCAAGTCTTCCAAATCTAGATTCTGGATCGAGGATAGCCACAACGCTCTTCATTATGAGAAGTCTCGCCGCGGAGTGCAATTGGAGGTGGGATGGCTTTGCTAGTAGTAAGCTGTAGGCCCGAAGTTATTTTTCTTGTATAAAGGGTGTTGCCTCTGTCCCCACTTGTTTGGCCTTGTCTCTATCCGTTGATCACTTCTGCTATTCCACCGTTACCTATTGTTGCCTCTGTCCCCACTTGTTTGGCCTTCTCTCTATCCGTTGATCACTTCTGCTATTCCACCGTTACCTATTTGCCTACTTTGTTCAAATTTGATTTGCTTTCCTCCTCCCATTTTTATAACTTTTCGAACGCGTGTCTTCAGTAGCCGACCCTATCTTCTTGCACGAGGGACGTTGTTGGCTCTGACTTGAGGGCTTCCTCCGCATCCTTTAGTGCACTCTTCCCCTTCTACCTTTATCTTTTCGTGTACCTATTCTGGTTGAATTCGATCCGGCTCAACTCCCCCTTTTTCCAAATAATCTCGACCCAATTTAACTCTTCATTTTCACTGGTCGAATTCGTCCCCCTCACCAGCCGCAGCTTCTATACCCCCATCTTTTTACTTTTGTAATCTTTTTCGCCATGCTTTCGTACGCTCACATAGCTACCCTACTTTGCTCTGGTGCGTTGCTTCTTTACATTTGTTTATTTTCAATCCACCATTACTAACATTCCATCGTTGATCACATGAAGTCATGCCACTGATCGAGGCTTCGGCAGTGCGAACGTGAGCCGCATCTTTCCCTTGCGACATATGATATATCTCCATGTAGACCTAATACTCATTGTTTTCATTGGTTTGCGTGCAGTGTGCTGCCAGGCACTGGACAGCTAACTCACGGTGTCTCACACATATCTAGAGGAAACCCGTCCTTATCAACCAAAGCGTAAGCGATTTCCTGTTTTCTATAAGCTTATGAATGAATTAAATATATCTTTCTGACTGTTTTGACTGTAGTGCGTTGTTGCGAGTGAAGTCCGACGTGCTGGCTCGGCGTGATGATGAGGACCCCGAGGGCACCTCAGTCTCTGTCTCAGTCCATGCCCCCCAAGTCATACTCAAGATCTGGGCTGATTTGAATCTGGCGGTCGACCAGTGTCGAAGTGCATTTCAGCAGCAAGCACCGCTTCAGGTCGCCATCGAGGTAGCCAGCTCGCTTTCGGTTCAAGTCAATAAAGTGAACAATCAAGCCAGTCAATGCGGCTGCAGCAACGATCCTGCTGCTGCCGATGTTTCTGTAAGCGCTGTTCAGTATGTTCGCTGGCTTTGGTAGACCGATGGGTGCTAACTTATCAGCGAATTCTTTACATCGTCCCTCAACCAGGTCAAGTTAAAAGCTATAGTCCCCCCTCTGCTCTTGTCACTCCAGGCAGTTATCCAAATTGGCCCTCAAAACTATGCAGATGCTTGGGATGCTCAATTGAAGCGTGAGCTGCCTTGGCATTTCTTTTTCCTCTTCCCCTTTTTTGCTGCAAGATGCTCATGACTGAAACAATTGCCCTTGCAGCCATCTTTCACGATTGCTCAAAGGTCTTCGTCTCGCTGAAGAAAATCTCGCTCGAATTGAACATTGACCTGGAGGCCATAGTCAAACAGCTCCATCTAGACCTTAACGTGTTCTTGAGCGTCGGTATCGACCTCAACTCCTTGTTAGGTTTACACGTTGAGCTTTTGGGACTCATCTCACTTTAGTGTTTCCCATCTCCGAAAACATTACTTGCTGGCTCGAGCTCATTTCTCGTGTCGCTTTAAACACGTTGATTATGCAAAAAGACCCGAAGAGATATTTACACTGTGTGGACAATTTGTAAATTTTGTTAGGCATTGAATGCATGTATCGTTTTGATTTCTTGTTACGTAGTAACACCTCTCTCTTATTACGCGTGTGCTGCATTTGCTCGCCAGGATCCTCCTATTAGGCCTGATAATTGCATATCTAAGGTGCACAACAATTTATCCAGTACCCAGGGTTAAATACTTGAGGAGGAAACATGTGTGTTACCCGCAGATCAAGTTTATCTTCAAAGCGGGTGCTCAGTGTAATCTGCGCACACGGGTGATGGTCTTTATACCTTGGTATGAGTGGAATGGTCAGGTTGGATTGCGTTTCTGACTCTGAACGCTAAACGCGAAAAAAAAACCACACAAAAAAACCAAATGGTTTTTGAGTAGGAATCGCATGAAAACCTATCGAGACTCTTGCTGGTCAAAATGAAGATTCTGGGTGTGGATTAGTTGAGGAGTATGCACGATGTTAAGAAGAAACACTAAAAAGAAGATTCTTTGAAAGATTGAAGCGTCTCATGATGGCATGAGGGCTCCACCACTCTACGCATGGGGTTCTCTCTGGAGAGGCTCATGGACTAACAATGGCTCACTCAGACTGATTAAGTGGACTAAATCTTCTGACCCAAATGACTGAAAAATATCAACAAGTGTGCCTTGATTGTCTGATTCAACAAATTCCTTGTCGCCTTATCCCCCAATGAAGATTTTCAAAAATCAGATTTGATTTACCATGCCCCCCCCCCCCAAAAAAAAAAAAGATGAAGATATGTTACAACGGATTCTCTGATCCAGATGATGGTGTGAATCTAACAATTGATATGCTTCAGAATGAAAGCAAGACAAAACACATCAACAAAAATTTCAACCAAAGGGAACAGACAATACACTAAAATCGATTCAATCATTGTTGTTAACTTACAATTTAACAAACTCTTGGAGTGATCACGCTCCATTTGATGGTCCGGAGTTTAGATCACTGAGCTGATATAAAATTGGAAAGCGTCAAAGAAGTATGGATGGAGGATGAAGGTTGATAAATAGTGATATTTCTGTCCGTATGATGCAAAAAATAAGGAAAAAAAAAAACTGAAGGATTATCGACAATATGAAGATGGAGTCTACTGGTTTGAGACAATAACAATTATTAAAATATAATGAACAATATCAAGATTCTGAAATATGAACAGGGCACGAAAGAACTTTTTTTTTTTTTTGGGGGGGGGGGGGGGGAGAGTAAGGATTGAGTCATCGGGGCCAATCTGAATCCACTTCACTTTGGTTTCCATTGGAGCATTCACCCGTCAAGCTTTCAAACACCTTATCATTTTGAGTGAACAGCTTCAAATTCTCCATTGTCAATTCCTCCGACCTCTCACCCACCGACGATGTTTGATCCAGCGTTTTCGAGCCTGGGCTCGAAGGGCCATCATCATCAATGGGATGCGGAAGCTCTGCAATCACCTCTTGATTTACCAGCCAGTTTGTTGCCGATCTGGTGGCTGAGTCGACGGTCATGCCAATTGAACCGGAGGCGGAGATGGGTGCAGACACTAGAATCCGATCGCTGGTGCCAGGATCGCTGTTGTTGGTCGCAAGCTTGACCCAAGCCAGTTGCCCGAAATCTTGGGCGTTATCACCGCGCTTTCCGTCTTGCGCTATCTCCACAATTTCTCCAATCAACTCCCCTCCACGCTTCCTCCTTTTCGTCTCCGAAGAACGTAATCCATCCTCTGACACTGAACTCGATCCCGTTTCCGAGCCGTTTCGATCTTTCCGTCTTTTTCGGTTGGAGTTTTTCAGAAAGATGGGCTCCGGCCAGACCTGCATTTCATGGGCGTGTTGATCTTGGCCAACCAATCGACAATCCAGCCGTCGAGTGGCCGCCAGCCAAGTCTTTCTTTTGATACACTGTCGTCTCTTCAACTCTGATGATTTGCTCGGCGGTCGATACGATGTTTTGGGTGATGTGTCTGCGTTTGCGCCGCTGCCATCAACCGGTATTGGTTTAGAACCCGCGAGCGCTCCTTTGATCGTCGCGTGTTGAGCGATATTAGCTTCACTTCCATGCAAACCGGCGGACAGACGAGAGGTCGTAATGATGTCAGACAATCGACTGATTCCTGAAAACTGATCTCGAGCGTCACGCTCTTCTTCAAGTAGTTTCAAAATAAGAAAGCTCTCGTTCAGTTTCTCGATTTCCAATCGCTCCTCCGCCAACTTGATTCCAATCTCAATCGCCAACTGCCTCTGCTTTTCAGACTTGATTGATAATAAGAATCCTTGCTCCAAGATCAAGAAAGGCAGATCGAGAATCGAATGAGGCGGAAATCGGGACTGGGACAGCACTTTCGAGGGTGGTGACAATGAAGGCGTCCGCTCTCGGCTGAAGCGATTGCTATCGACATGAACTCGTGATTCGGCGTCAAGGTTATTGGACAAGGGCGCACTTGGCGAAGTACTAATTACGGGCCATATCGATGTCACAGGAAGGGTTCGTAGTGTGCTTTGCGAGAAGGTCTTTGCATCTTTCGACATAGTGTCTGCTCTGCTTATCAAACCCCTGGGACTAGACAAGGGAGATTTCAACACGGTCTGGTGGATAGGAAATGGCTCGTTTAGGCTGGTGTCTGCTGAAGAGAGTTCTTGCTCGCAAGAGTGCGCAACCGTAGCAGCCTGGCACCACTCTTTCAGATCACGCAGCAAGTCCGACTGATAGCGTGTAGAATGAAGTCGTTGAAAGTTTTCCAGTGCGTGATTTTCGTGTAGAATGTTGGCCAATTGAAGAGAGTGTTCTTGGAAGGATTCTCGTTGTAATTGAATTTGTGATTCCAAAACCCAGAGTGAGTAAAGCTGCGGAAGTTCAGCCCTCAAAATTGGAAGAACGGCGGATTGGAAAAAGTCGACAAGTGTTGATCGATAGGCAGACAAATGATAAGCAAGCTGATGTAGATCTGCGGCTTCCAATTGAAATGTACTCGTAAAATCAGGCAGTGCAGAAGGTGGGTTTTCGTTTTCAGGTGTCGGAGCTGATTTTATTCGTAATTTGCGATTCTTCGACGAGGCCCCTAGGATGGAGGATGTTTTCTTTCTGACGGTGTTTTTCTTGGGTAAGGTTGGCTTGGCTTTCTCTTGCTTGGCACGTCTTTCGTCTAGTGCCACCTGCACGATAGTAGGCGTAAGTAGATGTGGACGTGCCTTTTTCTTCAAGATAGCCAGTTGATAGCTTGACATCCGGCATAGTTGCTTCAGATCGGCAGCAGTATGACTGTTGTGTTGGATACGTGAGATGAGAGGATCTAGATGCGAAAGCAACACAGGCTTGATTTTAGAGTATAGAGTTGATTTCCTGGAGGCTGGTGAAGATTTCGGTTGCAGACCAGCATGCTGATCGAAAATTTGCTGGCATTCGGCGAAGGAGTATAGAGAGCTTGAACCATTGATTAAGTTGATTTGAATGCACTCCTTCGAGAGATCGAAAATCACCTGATCTACAATCTGCTGTCGCCATAGAGCAGGTTCCATGCAGAGGAGCGAGTGCGGTGAAATGCCCTAGTGTCAAATGTCCACACCCACACGTTAGAATTTGTTCCAAATCAGGAGATATGTAGGAAGTCTTGACAGTACTCACAAATTGCTGGCACAAAGCTTGATTTTCAGTGTAGCCAGGAGGAACACTTATTTTGGCATATGGTCTACTTTTCTTATGGAAGACGTCCACAGAATGATCCACCCGGTGAGTCAACAGTTCCTCGGGCAATTGACTGGATGGCCCTGGCGTGATGATCCTTAGTTGCATGGCACCAACGCCTACGAATCTTGTAGCCAATGTAGGAAGCTTTGGCCCTAGCTAAATAACGACAATGTCAGTTCCAGTTACGATGAAGCTAAGAAAGATCTTGGGGATTACTTAGGTACCTTTGTGAGCTATCAAAGAGGCTGATTTAGTCTCATTCACTGCGCCCCCAGCGATTTTTAGTCAGGGATGAACCGAGCCTGTGAATTTTGAGATGTGAGGATGGGAGTAGAATTGAGCCCCGATCCGTTTGTCGAAATCTATCGAGAGATTATCCGGTTATCAAGGTACAGTAAGATCGGAATTCGTGTGTGTCTATTTAGGTTCGATCAGGCCGACGGTAGACCCCGTCGGCAGGTTTTGTCGGAGGTGGAAGCTGTAGATTACGAATTATGAAGAGTAGATGAGCGATGATTGATCGGCCAGGCCACAAAGCTTTGATAGCCTCTATGTATGATTCTTCATGGCAGATAAAGATAAGGAGAATCAGCACAACTGAAACGACTCAACATCTGACACGCGCGTAAATAGAACTGTAAATAAATATGATGACGATTTGCGTAGATTTTGAGTGTTGGGGTACTTAAATATATGCTACTTACCTAACGTGCCGTGTGGAGCGGAGGAGAGTTGAGTGCGAATGGCCGAGTGGCCAGATGGGAGCCTATGACGAGGGCCGCGTTCTGCTCGATGGGACGGGCAAGAGATGAGCGAGTGAGTATTTTAAAACGGTTTCAAACGAGCACCAAGCTGAGTTGGAACTGGCTCAGAGAGAAAAGTAGAAGATGGCCATGGATGGCAGCAAACAAACAAACAAGAAGGTTTCAGCGTCTGGTCGATGACCCTCAGACAGCCAGTCCTGATACTTACGGGGTACACATGTATACAGATCAAGACGGACGACTCGATGAGAAGAAGGGCAATCATTCAAGACTTGACTTTCCGGGGTAATTTTAGGCTCACCTAACTGGAGGAATGAATCAAACTTGACGAGGAGACTCCCTAGCTGTGGACGGGTCTTGGCAAATGGTCAGTGGATGAATCGAATAAATATGTACCGGGGAATCAATCGAAACGCTAAAGGACAGGACGGCAGCAGAACAACAGCTTGAGTATCGAAGGAAGCCAAAGGAATGCTGATGTTGAAAGTGTCCGGGCTACATACCAGGCACATGCTTGATGAGAGCAGTACTTGTGGTTCTTGAGAGATATGGAGCTTGAAGTTCTGATATCCCCAGCTTCACTTTTTTTTTAGAAGCAAGAGGACCCTTCGGCTTGAAATAGTGTCGGAGTGAGTCAAGCGCATGTCGGATGGTTAGCCTTCATTCAGTATGCAGCTGAGCCAAGAGGAAAAGGCACAACGTCTCTGGAGTCCAATCATGAGGACTGTTAATGTTTTTTGATCGATGAAGTTGGAACTCACGCACCCAACAACAAGCTGGATTGTTTGATCGAGACTTCCAACCTCCGGAAGTGATCAATACCCTGCCAGGCCTGATCTACTGAAGCCATCATGTTGGGATCCCCCACTCCTTTGGTATGTAAGAATGTTTATCCAGATACATAACTTTCCTCGACAAAGGCAAAAGAACAACGTGGTGACCTTCAGAAGTCAAAGCTAATTTTTCCCTCAACCTGTGGCCCCAGGTCAAATTATAAGCCTAACCTATCAGGACCTCGATCTCAAAATGCTTAGCTCCACCTTGCTTTGACTTTCATCTGTAGATATCTTTTGATGGACTCCAATTGCAGCCAATTACTCTATGTAAATACATCCTAGAGGAAATATGAATGTCGCCCAAGCTGAGATTGTCTGCTCCATGCTGAATTAGACATACGCACAGGCAGTTATAAAAAGGACTTCTGGAGCAGCGACCAAACTCGCACAAAATCTTTGTCATCAACGACTTATGTATACTTATATTCACAAAACCCCATATGATTTCCTAGTGCCGGTTTGGGCCACCAAGTTGGCCAACCAAGTCTTGGATATTCAGCTCCACAACTCCAACCAGTTCCAACAAAAATTGGCCGGCATTAGGAATCCAAGTGGGGTTTTGTGAATAGGCATAGGTATGAAAAAGTTATAGTGAAGGAGGTGTGACTTGTCTTCTGAATCTGAACGGACGAGTGTCTTGACCTCATTGACACATTGGTTCAACTGTACTCCCAATGGACTGGAACGTGACAGATAACGTGTGAAGGATGTTTCTCCCTACTGCTCACACTTCTTTGCTTAGGAGAAGGCTGTTGAAAAGCCAGCCAAGCAGACAGGTGCTGGCTTAGGGTTTAAACGATACAGAAGCAATCAAGCTTTCAGCAATAGTCAAGTGTGAATGGTTTCCTTGTTTTTTTTAATCAATCGGTGATAGATTGTAGCATTGGATGGATCTTAGATGTACAGATGAAAGTGCATTACTTGGCCGATTTGGCAGTGTTGATCCAGCCCAGTCCGACTGCGCTGACCACATATTCAGAAGGCAAAATTTTGTTCAGTTTCTGATTGAAACAAACTTCCTTCAGATCTTGCCGCTCCTCCCCCTCCGCCTCCTCATCTTCTTCATCGGCTTCTGGAATGATCTGGCGTTCGACAGGAGTGATTTTGAACTGAACGCCGAAGACTGTTTTGAGATCCCTGATCCAGGCGACCAAGGCTTCAGTGAAAGGTCCGCCTATCTTGATCCGGCCGATATCCGTTTGATGGCTCAATAGCAAGAATAAGAGCCCTAACCATTCAAAACCTTGATCGATGCATCCGCCTCTCGAGATCTGTTTTAACAGTCGCCGACTCGCCAGAACTCCGATATCTTCAGGGGTCGAAGTCGGATAGGATACCGCTTCGGCTGTATAGAGTGCGGTGGTCGTCGATGTGCCAAGCAGTGTTAACGCATAGCCGGGCGACTTTCCACTTTCAGCTCCCCGATAAACATCTGTGTAAATATAGATATCGGGAATATATCGATTTAGGACCGATCGGGCCGATGCGACTAGCCGATTCGCGAGCTGTGGAGAGACTCTGACCGAGTGACTGATCAAAGTGATCATCATTTGTAAGAAAAACACAATCACACAGGTTTCTCCCATTCAGCACAAAGACCTGTAAGGGGGGGGGGGCACAACAAAATGAGTTGGCTTACGCAATCCCTCTGATCTTTGATATCCTGCCGGATTCAGTGAAGTTCACGCCTGCCTTGATTAGCTTGACAGATGGACATTTAAAGCAGCATTCTCCGCCTCCTTCCGGGGGATGGCCTCGTTTCGAGATCTTGAGCTCCAGTTTTCCTGCATTTTCTCCAAGCCAAATCCCGAGAGTAGGTAGGCCGCTGACCCTGAGAACATCGACTGAGAGGCTATCGTTGGAGGTAGTAATTCCTTTCAAGACTAGGGTGAGGTCGTGCTTGCAAAATGGGGCGATTGCTAGGATTGGAGTGAGGAAGTAACCAATCGACGATGACAGTGGTGTTTGATGTGTAATGTGTCCTCCCGTCAAAGTCCCAGGCACAAAGAGAAGCGAGGTTCCGGTGTAGGAGATCTCTACGGTCGTCCCGTTGGTCAGTTTCTCCAATAACCTTAGGAAAGATACTTCGGCTTCTGTTCTTGAAAACCAATTCAAAGGAAAATGATTCCAGTCAGTCAGTCTTCCGGTGCTTTCATATCTGTGAATGGACATAGATGAGGACGTACCATTCAGACCGGGCTCTTGGTCATCTGGTCGGATATCATCTATCCTAATCGGTTTGTGGGATAGAAGGGAGAGGATCAATCTGTAAGGTAGTTGCTCGTGTCCCTTGAATCTTACGGTCCTTGATAGATTTGCTGAACCTCCGCCGGCGTCCTTGTTGTTGTTGCTCGTTGTCATTGTGCCTGCTGATGATATTTGGTTGGTTGGTTGCTTTGGTAAACTGGGGTTGGTCGACAGATGAGAGGGCTCGAACGTGGGTCGAAAGGGTGCACAGCCGCAGTCGGCCCACCTCGATTATGTAATGTCAGCTAAAAGCAAAAACATTGGGACTGTTTCAGGTCAAATCAGTACGAGCAATTTTTCAGGTGCAGGAACTTGGTGAGGGCAGCACTGACAAGTAGCAGAGCCAAAGAAATAGTTTTTCAGAATTATGTTGTTTCCATTCCAAGACTCCCAGCATCACTTGAGGGAAATTATGGGACTGTATCTGTATATTTGTCATCCACCTTTTTAAGAAAAACATAGAGGATTTCTGCCTGATTCATGGGGTGCACTGGCACAGACCCAGTGGGAGCATACATCACTTTCTCTGGAGGTTTAGGTCTTTTCAGTGGCACGCACTAAAAAGATTATGGTTCCTTTCCCAGATCATCTGCTACACTTGAAGACATCAAAACTATGATAAGGCCTACTCTGTTTTTCAAAGGCCCAAGAGTAGTTGTTCAATCTCAATGAACATCTCCATTTCATTTACCCTTTAATATACGGTAGTTTGATCTGAAGAAAGTGGGGGTTTCAAGCTCAACAAACAGAAAATGCGTAAAAAACATCATGTTAATGTCAAGTTCATTTCAGCAGAGAAATTAAATCGAAAATACACAAAATATGGACTCAGTTTTGAATTTTGATTCAAATCCTGATCACATTTGCTGCTTGCTTTATACACTAAAATTCACGTCATGATGGGGAGTGTGAGCAACCAGTAGTAGATATAATTACAATTGTTACATCAAGGACTCAAAGTTGAGTCAACCTATTGCAAGTTGCTATAAGCTATTAGGCTCAAGTTTCTAGAAAAAAAAACCCATTCAGAATACATAATGTTCATTTGATCATGGTTCAAAATGTTGAAACTAATAAACCAAGAAATACAAAACATGAAATCCATGTGATCAGTGTCTGAAAAGTGCGTAAAGGGTTTTGTTGTGTTCTGGATAAATTGGTATCATGTATGTATCCCGCCATTTCAAGTGAGCTATCAACTGTGTAAATCTTGAACCGAGTTAGATTCCTTTTCAATGGAAATGTAATAAAATTCACAAAATTAAAAAGGATTGATTGTTGAATTTCGACGAGATCACTCTTCCGGGATGAATTTGGTTGATCAGGACCAGTGGCAGGTCTTGCATGCCCTATGGCGTGGAGGTCTATTCCACCATGAAGATTATCCAGATCATCATTTAGTGGTGGACTGGATATAAACGATAGGATGGCTTGGCAAATTGCCAAACCGTCAAAATTTGTAATAGGGAGCGAGTTCACGAAAGCCAAACCCATGGATAGGGATAGAAGAAAACTGTGTCAAATGCATTGCAATAAGCCAAAAATACTACCCATTCATTCTCTGATACACATTTTACATACCTGAACATTTCCTGGATGGTCAAGATGAGATTGGGACTGATAAAGCCAACCCGAGGCATTGAAGATGTTACGCTGACTGTGTAAGGTATGACGAATGCATTAATAGGCAATTGCTTTCAAGGCAAAAGAAGCAGCAGGTATACGACGCACCCTCTTGCCGTAGCAATCCTTTCGCGCCCCGATAAAGTATGGTCCTTGACGCACCCGTCTTGAAAACAAGGGTTTGAATTACAACCAGATTCTGCCCCGGGGTAGGTTTAATACAGACATTCGTTTCGGCACAGTTTGCGTCCGTCAGACACCGTTCACGGCTCTGGAGCTCTGTGAATGTTTCTTGCTCGACACAACGGTTGATTGCTGGTTCGTGTTTAGATTTCCTCACCCGAAAGCACATTGGAGATCGTGTTGACCATGCGGCATCAGAATTGGTGACATGGCAGCAATCAGGAGAAAGTGCTGTATTTCGAAATTTCAAAACGGGGTTAGCTGGGCATAATCGTATTTCCGGGACAGTCAAGAGAATTAAGAAAGAATCAAAGTGATCGGATTACTTTCAAATTTAGAGGTGTCAAAGCACCAGCCTTCCGCAGGCTTTGAGGAACCTTTGGAGGAATCGATTGCTCCGGATAAATAGTTATCCCATAGTCTGATCGAGACAACACCGTTTGCATGAGTCGAACTTGAAGTGAAAGAGTCGTTTCCTTGAAGAGAAATATCGTCTATCTGTGTAATAACATCACGTGAGTTGAGGAGTGGTCGAAGGCTAGATTCCTGTAGTAGTGGATCAATCAGTGCACATGCCATAAGAAGAAAAGTGCATCAAAATTCATCGAGCCCGTAACGTACCTCTGCGACATGGGCTACCATCACACCATGACCATTGATGTCCTTCCAGAAAACATGACCCACTGTCGAATCGAATAAGTTTGATCCACCATTCCAGGCTAACCAGCTCAGAGCTGCCAAGACAAGATTATGCCTGGTTTCAAGGTTGAAAAGGCAGACAGAAATGAGTGTTGCTGGTCCGATAAAGTATAAATCTAGTTGGGAAAAAAAACTACAAACCATACACCCGCCGTAGCTATTCGCAAGCTCCTGATATGCTTTATCTTATGATGACCTTTTGAATCTTGCATGTCGTTCGATGCGAGTGTCTTGACGTAGCACACTGGTATCAGAGGGAAAAATATATAAAATCCAATTGACTCGAGTAAAACGGAGTTCCTAATAAAAAGTCGGAAATTAACGATCAGTGGGTCAAGTTTTATCACAGGACAGGGAATTACTGACAGTGCAGCAGCAAGAGCATGCCCTGCCTCGTGGAACATCTGGGATAATACCAAGGCGACTAAGAATTTCGGGAGAGTGCTGAGAGGGAGTGTCAGCCCGGGAATCTACGAGGTTTCAAGCGGCAACTCTGGTTGGTCAGAAAGGTAAACAAGGCGATTAAGAGTAGATCATCGTGCCTTCTCTTTTGCAGCATCAAAGTAAATGGATCACTTGCCGCCAACTCCAACAACATCGCATTCGTGTTTTGTTTCAGTCTGAAGCTGTTGTTCGCCGGGATCCCGGCAGGATGCGGGTACGATGTCGCTCCCTGACTTTCGTGGGTGGGTAGAGTGGCCCTTTTGACCAATTGTTTGGCCGCAGTGAGCATATCATGAGCAGGAGTACCAGAATCTGAGAGAGGCCTGCTTCCCTCAGACTCTGTGATGCTCAACATCAAGTTGCACATCTTGCCAATGAGGCAAAATAGCACATGAAATACAACTACAAGAGCGACGAAGATCCCTATGACGCTCAGCACCGCCCCGATATCGTACACCGCGATGAAAATGAGACGCTTGAGCTTCGAAAACGCTGAAGGCCGCCGAGGCGGTCGGACCTGCGAGGGCTCTGAGTCATCATCGAACGTTTTGGGGTTGCGAAAGGGGCGGAAATTCGTTGGATATTGGTGCAAAACTCCCAAGGTCTCCCAAAACTTAGTGGGCAAGTCGTTCAATGACTCGGTTTCAAATTGTATCCACCCTATGCCGAATTTGAAGAAAGTTCGTTGGAGCGGTAGTCTCGGGAGATATGTCTTCCTACGCGCCTTGAAGCAAGTTAATACGGTTAAAAGCATCCAACAGCTCGCTGCAAGCCAGGTTAACATTACACGATAAGTGGGTGTGTGGGTATATCTCTCTGTTGGTCTTGGAAGGAGCGTTCGGCGAAATGAGTTGAGGACGCACACGAAAGCGCCGAGGGCTATTTCGCATATCCATGGATCGAAGCTCGCACACTCTGCGCACTCTGCGCAAGCTCTACTGCTCCGGCACAGCTGATCTTTCAGCACATGAGCTTCTTCCTGATTGAAACATTGGTTGTTCTAATCATTATGGTCCATATGTAGTTTCCATGACAGAAATTCACCACATCTTCTAGCTGTTTTACAGTCAACATATTGCAGATCTCACCAGATTTAGTCCCACCAGTGGGACATTACATGACTTGATCCAATTGATCATTTTTTATCAGCAAGCCAATGGCATGGTGTTCCAGCTTTTTCAGGGCCACTGTTGGTGGGTTTTTTAGAATATCATAACCAACAGATTTCTAATAAAATGTTGTGAATTGATCCTACATGGTCATTAATCCTGAACAAAAAGCAGTTTTTCCAATCTTTCACAGTTTCATGTTAAAAAGGAATGTGTAGCCTTCCAACTCCCTGTCCTGGTAGGGGCCAGGGGGAACCCAACTCTTGCCACCCAGGTAACCCTGCCATCAGGTTCCAAACCAAAAAAGCAAACCAAAAAACCTTTTGACACAGGTCACCCAAAATTTGCATCAAAGTGTATCTGACAATACCAAATAGTTCTGCATGTGAAATTTTCCAGAATGGTCAACAAGATATTTAGAATTAGGATCAATTCAACCAAGAAAAACACTTTAGAAAACCCAACCCCAAGATCCTTCTATGCAACATCTCACCCTACATAATGGTACCATGGTGAGCCTTGAGATTTAGAACCAAGGATTTTCCTTAAATTTAAAGACACAAACTCCAATCTGTGTATTCCTCAAAACACACTCACTCACCATATCTTGATGATCATGATGATGATAAAAATACATCCCATCTGTCCACCTGCCCCTCTTTTTTCTGCTATAAATTGCACAAGTTGTTCCCAAAATCAATAAAAGAGGAATAGTATTTATTGCATTTGATTTGAATCATGAATTATGATTTTCATTTTCTCATGAGCTCAAACAAGAATTTGGCTTCTCAAAATAGAAAACTCAGATCATGTGGTGCTTCACTTTCGAACAAAGTACTGAGCAGAGGTCCATCACCATTATTTACTATTTCATTTCAAGAGAAGTACAAAGTAAAAACACTCATTTCGTTTTCTGTTGTAGCTCAAAAAAAAATGCTGGGCACCAGTAAAGAAATTTAGTAACGCCATTTCATCGCCGCTTGGGTGTTGTCTTGCTTGTCTCAAGGCCCCGGGGCTAGGATTTTTAAACGTATCTAGTCTCGGAGGAAACAAATGTCGATATTCGTCAGACGTCGAGATAAACGTGTCTATAGCAACACTTTTTCTACTTTTTCAAGTTTGAAGAGGTATCTCATCAAGCATAAATTTATCATCTAGCAACAAGTTATGTTACTCACCTCACCATACGCTTCATCCTGCTCAATCACTTCAATCAAATCCTGGCTTGCTAACGAGAGGACTTTGATGAATGCCTGTGCAGCGATTGGACTACTCGTACTTGCCACTGGCGCAAGATCACTGACTATAATTAACATGATCATTTGTTTTCAAAATAAAAAAATTGATTAGCCTCAACATACATTCAAAAGACCCCCCCTCCACCCCACCCCTAAACAGGCTGTGCCAAAATAGAGACACACATAGGAAATCACTGGGATCGTCGATTCGACTCTGAGACCAGGCTAGAAAGTTCAATGCGTCTGGGTCGGTTTCGATTTGTTGAAGTTGTTCGACTGTGGATAAACCAATCACAGAAGTCGCGCAATCAGCGGTTTTATCTTCACACCATGAAGAACATCGGGTGACAAAATGCAAAAAGAAGCTTGATTGCTCAACTATTTCTTGGGATCAAACTTGATCTGATCTGCTGAGAAGTCGACGAGATACGCGTAGGCTCGCGAGAGGAGAGTAATGATGAGCGGCGCCGTCTGTGATAGATGTGACAGTTGGTTAGTCGATATTACAAAGAAAAGATTACATTTTTGAAAGTTGCTTCACAAATGCACGGGTGTTTCCCTCCTCACTTGTGAGCTTCTCCTGCCACTTGCTTCTCCAGCATCCATTCCATAGGAGTCTAGTGCACCATAGTCACTTTCATATCCTCCCTCAGCAGCGCCTGCTGCCAACAACCCTTGGCGGTTCCATGGGAGGACCTGACTCGAGGAAAGTCTGTGGGTGCTACTTTCATAACTGGGTGCTCGTTGTCTTCCCATCACCTTTGAAGGACCCACGAACAAATGGGTTCATTAGCCAATGTTAGCAAACCTAAACTGAAATTACAGACATCTTCTTCAATTTCTTCTATTCTCTCCGGTTCTTCCCCCAGGAAAGGCTCAATCTGATTTCTATTTTGTTCAAAGTTCTGCCATGCTATGATTAATTACGAATGACCACGATCATGTTCAGCTTTCCTGGTGAATAGGTTGTTAAATTTCTTGAGTTGCAAAGAAACTCACGAATATTCTCGAGTGGGTTGAAAAATGATTCATCGTGAACCTCCGAGCCCTGTAAAGGCCCACCAGCACCGGGACCGGCATATCTGTGGTCTGTCTGATCAGAATGGGAAGAAGGCAATTCCAATTCCACATTCCTATCAGCGCCTTGGTATTCCTCTAGAGGTCTATCGACTGCTTCTAAATGTCATATACATCATCCGCAAAAACATTACCGCGGTTAGTAAGGACAAGAACCGTATAGCAAAGCAAAATTTGGCTGAAAAGATGATAGATACGTCTCGTTGCCTCTGGCACCTTAACACAGTCACTCCATAATTCTCTCAAGTTCGAAGCCTGGACTAAAATTAAATTAGAAAAAAAAGCCAAAAGGTTAGTTTTCTTCAGTATGGTTCATTCAACCTGCAAGGTCTTTGTGAATAAAGCGGTGAGAAGTGACTCAGACAGTAAGGTGGGATCCCATAAACCAATTCCTTGGCCCGTGCCTGCATAAGTTGTTGGAGTCTTCGATTCTGGTACTTATTTTCTCTCTCTAAACGCTCTACACGATAATGTTGTCTCATATTCATCACATTCTCTGCACTCAGGGACGTGACCGGATCTACTAAGACTTTGATGAATTTTCGACGGTCCAGCCGGGGTTGTGATTCGTCTTTGCGCTTGAGTGAGAGAAGTTTCTCCAGAGATTCTGGACCAAGAGTATCGAGCTGCTCCTCTCCATCATGGAGAGAAAGTTCGGGATTGATGAACTGGGAAGTAGGCTCAAATTCGAAATGTTGTTCTGGACCCTCGGGAAGCCTACTTTCTCTCTGTGGAAAATTCATATCGTCAAATCAACAGTGTAAGGACTTGAAAAACAACCAGATAATCTTCTTGGTTTTGACTTTGAGCTGTCAATCTTGACCTACAACATTTTCCGCAGTTCTTTGAGTCCCAGCTGGGCTCATTGGAATGCCCATGATCGAAGTATGCCTGTGTCTACCTTGATAAGCTCTTCCGACTTCGCTTTCGATCCCGAACCTATTTATGCTCCCCCAACATTGATATTAGAAAAAACCGAAAAAAATGTTTACATGATAACCCGAAATGAGTCAGAATACCTGCTAGAGGGTTGGCGGATCCTTTGGCCTTCTAGGATCGGATTAACATTGGTCTCGGGGATGATTCCGAGGTTGATATCTCCTCCTTCACCCTAAATGAATCGTGCGGTCAAAATCGGTAAATTGCAACGAAAAAAAAAGCATTGGCTTTAAAGAGACAAAGGACTATTCCAAAACAACAGCTGGGCGCCTACACCCAAATCATCAAAGTCCAACCCCTGTCCCAGGTATTCATTCAATCCGTTGGGGTCGTCTGCATGGGTTGAGAATGGCCCCAATCCTAAGGACCCTCCCGATAAACTGATTTCAGACGGTTTTGAGACAAACGGATCACGGCGACGCGAAGAGCTATCGCTTCGTGAAGCTGTTAAGCTGATCCCTAATTGTGACCCAACATGATTTTATGATACGTGTAAATTATTCATCATTTCCGTAAGCGTTTAACAGAGCCACATGACGCACTTGTGGGTTTGTCTCCAACTAGTATAGCACCAAACCCTCGATAGAGATCGTCGGCCTCTCCTTCATGAAAATTCGGGTCAAATAAGAATGGATCGGGTTCCTCAAACCCAAAAAGCTCCCCTATGTGTTCTTGATCCCTCGCGCGAGCAAACGTATTACCGCCTGTTCTGTGAAGAGAAGGGCATTTTGAAATCTTTGTTAGGGTGAAGAACAAAAGCATCTCATCCAACTTGGTAAAACAAAGTATATGCCTCACCCCACGTTCAGGGTGGCAGCACCATCTATGACAACCTGACTTCTTGATCGAGAGCGGGAATGTTGTGCGGTCGCAATGATCTTGTTATTGATAGCAAAACATAACGATAGTATTTTGAGCAGAGCAAAACCATCCACTCCTGGAAATTAGCCAGAGGACACCACTTACATTATTGTCTTCGGTGAGGAAGGAAACGGTCTTGATCGACTGGGCAACATGCTGCACCTGGAGATGTAACGCAGAGCATTTCTAGACAAAAACAAAAACATCACGCTTTTTTTAGAAAAAGAGGAGCACCGTGCAATCATTTGAATATTGTATGGGGGCTTACATGGCCATAGACTCGTACGATTCCAAGTAGTAACGCGCTGCTCAGCCTTAGTGCTAGTGGCTCGGGAGGCTGGCTCAACGTTGAGCTTCATTAGAATTTCAAAAAAAAAAACATGGAAAGCGATCATGAATCAACCAGGAACATTGGATTTTAGAAGTGATGCTAAAAGTGTAAAACGTTTGTTGGTTACCATGCTTCGGGCAAGTTGGCATTCAAGAGATCCTTTTTGGATAATCTTGTGACCGCCGACTTGAAATTTGCGCTGACTGCTGCTAGCCAATAGAGACTCCAACCAGAGCGGTGTCGTTTGGTCAAGAGATCATTGGAGAAAAACATCCTTGGATGTCTTCAAAACGATTGCGAAGAGAGATAATGTAGCCGTGTTCGACGACCTCAACGGGCGCTCGGTCACGAAGGGCTTATATGTGAATGAAGCTCACCTTCCAAAGCAAGGCAGTTATCTTAAATGAAAGGGGGTTTAACTTGTTCCTCCTCCCAAGTGCATACTTTGATAGGTACAGCATCATGTCCAAGCCAACTACAGATCATTCCTCCACTCAGGTATGTACATGGAGAATGACTTTGTGACATTGAGTCCAAGCCAAAAAAAAAAGCTCATACCTCCCATTAACCCATATTGCACTACCACCCGGGTGTTCGGGTGGGTCCAGAGACCCACCCCGAGGACACACACCCGGGTGGCTCCACCCGTGAAAACACCCGGGTGGCGTCTTTCGGGTTACACCTTTAGGGAACCCCCGGTCACGGTGATCGTCCTCTCCTTCACTTTCTCGGTCTCCCTTCTTCACAGAATATCGTATTTATTTATTCTCTGCATGCAGCTGGCCTTTACACAATACACAAATATCAGATGATGATGGTCGATGCATCAGTCACCACATCACACACAGCCTCCCAGGAGTCTAGGGAGTCAATTTATCCATATCCATCGTTGAAGCCCAAGGCCTCAAGTAATCAGGATCCAGATCAGCCAGGATATAAACAGATCATACGAGACCGATGTAGGTCGGGATGAATAGGATTTGGCGAGTGCAAGAGAACGAGTTTTCTCGACAACGGAGCCAAGGCGGTGAATGGCAATCGACTAATCGTCCTCATCCGATTCCGAGCTCTGCAGGTCAGATCGATCGTAGGTACATAATTCCGTAGCTCAGTCGAAGTGCCGTTGCGGAGTGCATCAGCCGGCAACCAATTTCGCCTCGATTCCTTTCTGGGATGACCGCATGAGTTGACCTTTAACCCTCTATATCGCGTGCGTGTTGACTTTTATTATCCTCTGAGTCTCCAGCTCTCTCCAGGAAGTACTTGTTGTACGTATGAGCTTGACGTAGAACCAAGTCCAACAGCGGAATAGATGCTTGAACACAATCTTCCGCGTCGTCTGCCGTTTTTGCTCGGCTTTTTTTGTACATGGTCAGGGGGCCGACCTCCTGCCCCACGAGCCTTACACCTTGCAACGATGAACAAGGCATCAAGAAAACCAAAAGCTCATATGCAATTGGTGTTGTGTCAAGTCCAGAAATTACAACGATGGGGAAACACGATTCAGCAGTTCTATGTAGGCCGTTGCGTCTTCCCTGTTGGGCTCGTTTGACCAGGGATTTTCCATCAAGCACTGGTCTTATGTACCAGCCCGTCAAGCTATCCAACCGTTCTCGAGTTGGTCCAGGGTAGTATCCCTTTAGTTTACATAGCTCATGTCGATATCCCTCTGGTATCTCTTGCGCCTGTTGCTTGGATTTTCCCCTGCGGGTGGGCCTGCTGTCAATTAATTTTCATCGTCTATCTACGTGCGTTTCATCCCTAATCACACTGTGAGTTTCATGTCTCCTTCTTGAGCACATACATAGTACTATTTACTACACCCAGTCACATCATGGACCATTGCAGTCAAGTGTGGTGACTTCTGTAGGATCTTCGACCTTCCAAAACCCACTCGAGAATCACCTAAGCTCAATTCCCTTGTATAGCTGTTGTCATATCTAATAAGCTTAAAGAGTCAATCCTCAATGAACCCAGTCGCCAAGCCTCGACATGCAAACTCTTACGACGACGCTCCGGACTCCAGGAGCAATGAAGAAAACCGATCGTCCCCTCCAGGGGAACCCACAAGAGGAATTTTAATTGCGACGTGCGATGCTCTCTTGATTTCCACCTATCCCTTCGCTCCTCCTGCTACGAAGACGCCTTCCCCAGACGGCGTGGATTCCGGGGAAAGGGAGGTTGTTGCCACTCTGGCGGCTTCATGTCTCCTCACCCCAGCTACTACAAGCCATCTAACCACCGAGGTTGGCGCATTGGAGGCGGGCGCACTTGCAGCTCGATCGATTATCACAGCGGACGATCGGGGTAACGCCGCACTTGGTGAAACTACCCATCCCTCCGGAGGAGAGCCTGAGGATCTTGAAGCAAAGCACCATGTCAGCGATACTGGGTTCGGTTTGAGGACGGCGACGCCTGGCGAGATCGTGTCGCTCCAGAATTCAGAAGCGGCGCACAATACCCGACTGCGAGTGAATCAGCCTGTGGGAATACTGGAAGAGTATGGAGAGGGTCAAACTGATTTCGATGGGGTGATCGACACGATGGAGGTCCTTCCGGTCACTGCGGGGCGCTCGGAGGGACTCAATCTTTCTCCAGCTTCAACCTCCTCCAACCTTCACTTTGGCAATCTTACGGTGCGCAAGAGTCGGGATGTCAATTTCCCTTCAAGTTCAAAGCCATCCAGCTCCTACGAAGTTAGTCCGTTGGCCGAGGTCACAGATGCTTACACGGGATCTCAGGGAGGGTGGAGCTTGCCTTTGTTAGCCCCAGATTACGATATCAAACTACAACCCTTTCACCATGTTTGTTGTCTATACTTGGCTCCATTGACCTTTCTATCCGTCTGAATGACTGACCCACTCTTTATTTTTATAGGACACTGATCGCTGCGGAACAACATTTACCAAGTCTATCCAGTCCAAAAAGGCCGACAAGAAAGGAAAGGAAAACGAATCTCTCGACGCTAAACTCTGGAGTCACACTTCTCGTCCAAGGAGTCGTGGCGGACATATGTTCAAGAACAATTTTTCTGCCGATCAATCACCTGCACCGGCTGTCCGTCGAGGCCCCTTACGAATATAATCCGTTGCTTCTGTTACGAGGTCAACCAATGCCTATCAACTTCGCCCACGACAAAGAAAAAATTAGCACAAGTAGACAGCTTTTAACATCAAAAGTTGGAGATGAACTTTATAATTCAACCTGGACACCATACCCACGAAGACTCGCATTGCAAGGCCTTCCAACTGGACTTACTCTTAATCGCCATCATGTGATCAAATCTTACGAAGATATAGCGAAAACCACTTGGTCAAACTCCACGCGCGCACATTTCCCGGCTTATCCTTTTTCTTCTTCTTTTTTCAAAAAAAAAAAAAAAAAAATCTACGAATGTATTTCCGGGATAACGATTCAACCGCTTCCAAAACTCTCTGATTATCTATCCACTCACGATGTACCATTGTTACTGTCATCCTCGATTGAAAAATTAGTTAGTATCACAAACCCATGTCAACATCATCTCGAACCACTGAATCTCCGCGTGGTTCCTCAACAACGACAATCAAAACGAGCTTTGTATGCAGTTTCTTCTATCTCATTCAACACTATTTTTGGAAGAGAAGAAGAAAAAAAAATCGACTCCGCTATATCTGCCGAATATCTTGTTCTAGTTGTAATGTCTCATATCACGAATATTTTCTCATCATGTGCTCGTTTCTCGACCTTTGTTTTATGTGTTGCTTCCTTGTGATGAACTCTTCCTATCCAGTCTAGAAACCCTCTGATTGTAAATAAAACAAGGGTGATGCGCAGAGGAAATGATGGTGAACTGAAGCAGGAAGTGATCATGATGTGGGCAGTGTGCTCTTGTGGGAACAGGAAGGAGGTTGAAGACAGAAAACCAATCATCCTGAATAATGTTAGCATGGTGGACCATGGGCGCTCATGGTCCATCTTGAGCCATATATGGGTTGGTTCTGAATGCTGGGAACGTAGGGTGGGACCTGATGAGCCTGGGTTATGAAGGACATGGGACAGTACCGACAGGTGGGAGCGACGTCCAAAGGGGGCCCAACTTGGTTAGACTGCTGCCACTGTAAGTTGAACGAGCGCAATTAGTCCACCACTGAACAAGACACTCACCACCCAAAAGCTATCCACAACCAACATGTCATCCCACTCAAGCTGTCTTGGTCCCATCATCAACTCGATTACCGCCGGTCTGCGTCTGGAGAATAGCCAAGATCACGCAAACGCTGAGCACAACGAACAACAAGGGCTATCATCCTGTAAATGTGGATTTGGAGAACTCGAAGTATGTCCGGATATTGACTGTTTATGCTTAGAAGTCAACACTCAACTGACATTCAATGCCTTTGCGCTCTCAGTCCCAATCACCACCGTTTGCAAGCATGATGAAATTGCAATATCCCACTGGCCTTCAACCGCCCCGCTCTGACCAAGAAAAGCCCTTGATCAACCTCCAAGACGAAAACGCGATGGATTATCCCTCGATCCTGGAGGAGGAAATTGATTCCCTGTCTGCCGATCTACGCAAATGGAGCATGGAGATCTTCGGGTTTGCGGAAATCGCGATGAAAGAATTCAAGACGCACGACTTGATTGCTCAGATCTTTGAACAGACTCCCGGTGAGTCCCCACTCCTAGAGTGATTTACAAGTCTTTCTAAAGAGCTGACTCGAGCTTCCTTCAAAAAAAAACAGGTTGGAAAGTTACTCGACACGCGTATGGCATCCAAACAGCCGTCGAGGCGGTCTTCACACTTGGCAAAGGCGGACGCACGGTGGGCTTCAACTCAGAAATGGATGCCTTGCCAGGGATCGGGTAAGAGCTCTACACCTTGTCTCCTAGACTGTGATCATGATGGCTGTACCACGTCTGACAACTTTTATTCTCACGGGGTATAGGCATGCCTGTGGTCATCCCTTGATTTGTATCTCTGGGATTGCTGCTGCCATGGCTACTGCACAAGCTTTGAAAAAAGTAGGCCCGCTCTCAATCTATCAAACGCACGATTATATAACAGAAATAATACATGTTACTGACGGTTGGTCCGTGGTATTTTAAAATCCTAATTGATGCTAGACCAACACCCCCGGTAAAGTAGTTTTACTTGGAACACCAGCGGAAGAGACGATTGGAGGAAAGATCCAACTACTCGAGCAGGGTGCTTATCGAGGCATGGACGTGAGTCAAGGAAGATTGATTGATTCGCTCCACAACTCAACCCACCAGTTTCTAGATTAAAAATGATCTGATACACTCACCTCGGGTAAGTTTAGGCTTGCTTGATGTTACATCCTGCGCCGTTTGGTGGGATATTACCGATGCTCGCAATCAGTCAGGTCAAGGTGGAATATTTTGGGAAAAAGTGAGCTTTCTGTCCTGCTGGTTTTATTTGTTTCCTCATGTGTGTGGGTGCAGCAGAAAGCTCAAGTAGCGAATACTTTTATGATGATTGAAGTGCTCATGCCGCAGGGGCTCCTTGGGAAGGTATCAATGCACTCGACGCTGCGGTATCCGCTTATACCAACATCGCGCTTCTCCGCCAACAAAGTTGCGTTTATCTCATGTTTCCACCGACGTTCAAATCACCCTTTCACTCACGTGCTTCTTGATTGTTCAAAACTATGAATTGAATGGTGTTTGTTTGCTATTGAAAGTTCGACCGGACGAGCGAGTGCATGGGATCATTCAAGGTTCAGAACATTGGGTTTCCAATGGTGAGTGAGGGTCTCGTTTTTCTTTTTTCCAAACTGGTGGTTTAGCATCATTTGGGGGCAACTAAGCTGACTGCACCAAATTGACATCTTGATTGAATGGCACCAGTGATACCTGATTATGCATGGCTAAGATACGACATCCGAGCGCCTACAAGAGAAGGGATGGAGAAGCTCAAATCACGGGTCATGAAGTGCTTCCAAGCGGCTAGTGACTCGAGTAACTGTCGCATGAAGATTCAAGAAGAAATGCTATATGCTGATTTGGTCAACAATCGCCCGTTAGCCAAAGAGTACCACAAGTACATGGAGAACATCATGGGTATTGCCGTCCCTATGGATGGGCCGGCACTTGGTTCGACTGACTTTGTAAGTCCCATGCCTTTCATTGATTTCTTCTCGCCTTGTTTGACGGCATGGATGGAATTGATTGATGTTTCTTTTATGTTTACCTGGCGACTTGCATCGGTTCGAAGGGAAATGTGTCCTATGAAGTCCCCTCGATCCACCCCATTTATGCCATTCCAACCTTACCGGGCCAAGGTAATCACACCCGGGGGTTCACGGATGCTGCCGCGACAGAAGAAGCACATCGCCTCACGTTGAAATCTGCTAAGGGCATTGCTGTTGTCGCTTGGAAAGTCTTGGCTGATAAAGCGTTTGCTGAGGAAGTACAGAAGGCCTTCAAGCCTTAGCTACACCTATTTTTAAAATTATGCTTTGTATCCAATCGCATGTATCATTGTCATCTTTTTCGTCTCTCTGTCTTCATTTCCTCATGTCTCACATCCATGTTCCAGCATATACAGACTCCCAACCGGTCTGTCATATTATTGTATTCCATCTACCAGATCGTATGTTACTCTTCTTTGTCTTGTTCTGTGTTAAAGCCATGGTCTCATGGATGTATTGACAGCCCTGTTGTACTATTGAGCAAATCCCCTCTCATCCACAGACCCAGTCATCACTTTTTTCTCCTGCTTTCATCATGATGACATGTGATCTCTTTTCTTCATACATCAGACCCAATAATGAGGACATTTGTTTTCCAGCCTCACAGCCCACCATTTATAAGAATACACCGGTTGCATCCAGGTAATTTGGTGCTTTGGCAGTGGCATGTGCAAATTGAAGAGTGAATCTCTGCACAAAGTCAGGAAGCTGGCACCAGTTGATCACCTCCAAAAAACCTGTGCTTTCATCATGGTGACATGTGATATCTTTTCTTCATACATTAGATCCAATAATGATCAGCCTCACCGCGCACCATTTGTAAGAATACACCGGTTACATCCATGCAATTTTATGCTTTGGCATTGGCATGTGAAAATTGAAGAGTGAATCTCTGCAAGAACTTCTCAAGAAGCTGGCACCAGTTGATCACCTCCAAAAAACCTGTTTCAACTTGTTTTGTTACTTACATTCTGTTTCAACATAACTTGCATGCACAGTTTTCACAGCCACAGTGCAAAAACTGTTGTTTGGAATAACTTTGGGTTGTGACACTAGTTGTTGTTTGGGTATTCTGCATGTCAATTGCTGCCAGCTTCCTGCATTTTTTTTTTCAGATCAGGGAATTATTACATCACAGGTGCAAGAAAAGTTGCTGGTATCATTTTTTTAATGTGAGCAAGTTACTGTCTGCCACAATTTCTTTTTTTTCTTTGGAAAGTTCAGTGGCCCCAAGTTGCTTAAAACTATCTCATTGTGAGGAGTGCATCTGAAGAAAATAAGGCGGAAAGGGCCAAAGAAAATTACTTTTTGATTCTTGATGAGAGGGCTAAAGTGCTCGCAACAAATGACTGAAGAAGGGCTAATGTGCTCCTTCAGGATTGATCTAAAAAAAGAATAAAGAACCGATAATTTTTATTTCTCAATATCTAGAGTAGGGTGTTAAGTAGTCTAGATACAAAAGTGCACAAGTTGTGGGACCAGAAATTTATGCATATTGAATAAGAAAACAGTTGGTGATAAATGAGTGACAGGTGACAGAGAGGAAGAAAGGAAGAGAGAGTGAGATCGATGAGCAAAAAATTCAACAGCATCCCCATGAGATAGTGAAAATCTTGGATCCTGTGTAAGACTCAATGTTCCAATTGAGGGTCTCACATTTTTTGCTTTATGTGTTAGCAGAATTCTGCTGCACTACACCACCAATTGTTGGTTCAGAGGTTTCATTTGGTGTTTGCCTTTCCAAAGGAAATATTCCAGCAGAATAAGACCATTTCAACAAACAAGGGCAGGTCCTTCTGTCCTTGTGACAAAGGAATGGTTTTTTGGTCAAACATCTAAGCAAGGGGTTGACAATTTCCTCAAACAAATGTGTTTGTCAATCTTTTGAATCAAAAAGTTGGAATCCAACTTTTCAACTCCAAATTAATATGGAGAGAAAATAGTTTGTCTTTAGAAAGATATCAAAATGATGTCATACAACATGAATATTTTCTGAAAACCCCTTTTCCAGGATGTTGCAAATTAAACAGGTCTATTTTGCCTGGCTGTTGGTTTGTGTTTTTTTTACAAAATGTATTGGGCTCAATTGAGAGTCAAAAAAATAAAACGCATAGAAATCTGCCAAGCTGAGCCAAAAGTGAGCTGTTCTCATTTTGGATGTTCTTCTTATTTCTTATATATCTCATTTTTCACCACCACAGAATTTTCTAAATAAAAGTTCAAAAAATCCAACCTTACATTAAGAAATCATCTTTTGGGAAAATTTGAGACTGGTTTTAGTGTGCTCCTGCTTATTTGCACCTAGAAAGTTCAATTGAAACTGTTTTATTGAACTGCCACTTCTTGGTACCTGTACAGCAGTTGTGATGTTTGAGTGGAAAGTAATTGATTCAAAGGCACAATGAGTAGTTTGGTATATCTGACATTTTTTGTGATTAAGAAAAAAGTTTGCTGAGGTCAATGTTGCCTTTTTCAGAAATTCTCAGTGATCAGGAGCTGGTTTGGGGTGGTGTGATCTTGTGGAATTAAGGTAGAGGTTAAAATGCGTGGAACTGAAGACAAGGACTACAACACTTTCTGTGTGGCAAGAAAACTTGGAATTTAAGTGTTTAGAGGAACTACACCGTGTGTGGTAAATCCAAGTGGCTACATTTTGGGTTTAGGAAATGTGTTGTGGATCTAGCACGGGGTGAGACCTGCATGGCACCAGAAGGTGAAAAATCTGAGGCTAATTGTTCATGACATTTAGTGATAAGTCTGGGGAATCCAGAATCAGTGAATGCAAGGCTTGAAAGGATGGAATGTTTACAAGCTGGAGGGATGCCTTCACACATCCCAGAGTGGTACATAGCAGGGGTGGCACAAAGCTGTCAGATCTTCAACCTCAATCAGACCCTGGATTTTGGGTGACAAATATAGTTTGGGTGAACCCAATTTACCACCTGTGATGGATTTGAGTTGCTCTTTGCTATTGAAAATTTTATTTTCAGATTATGTGGATCATTGACTTTCCATGAATTTCAGACACTGAGACACTAGTCCATGTGTCTACATGAGATTTGAACCCCTCAAGGTTACACAATTATCATTATTTGAGTTATTCTCTATCTATCAAAATAATACACATATGAGAAAGGCTAATTATCTCTCTTGTGTTTATTTATCAAGGAGAGATTATTCTCATGTTTTATCTTTAATTTCTTACTTGTGTTTCCCATAACATAAGAGAGAGGTATTCAACATGTTGAAATTTCAAATGCCTTGAAAATCATGGCACCTTTCCCCAAGGTAAAAATGTAATTACATGGGGACCATGCCAGTCTCACAAGCAGATTGGCCTCTGGGGAGGTTCTTCCCTCTAGAAATCCTTCCCCCCAAGCCCAGACACCTTACTTAATACTTGTGAATGGGGTTTGAAGTTCCACTGACTACCTGTGTGGTTATAGTGAGACTCAAAGACCTATCAGCACTTGGTCAAATAAGAGCTTGTTGATGACATTGAACCTCAAAGGTATTCACAACATAGGGGTTGTGATCCATTCCTGACAAATGAAGCATCTACTGCTGTAAGTCAACTTGATCTTCAATGAGAACTTGAACATAAATTGGGAATCTTGATAAAACTTAGAGGCAAGAAGGGGGTTAACATTTTTACCAAAAAAATTGTTAGTGAGTTACAAGTTCTGTTTCCTGATGCATTGTGGTTTTTGATCATTACTCTTAAAGAGAAGCTTCTCACCAAGATTTCAAACTTTCCAATAAATTATTAACAAAACCCTACAATTGCTCCTAGCTTAACACAAGACCCACCTTAGTTGACTTACAAAGGGATCCTCCAAATGAATGACTTGAGAGTAAAGTGAACATTTTGGCTTGAGAGGTTTTGTTGTTTTGGTGGTGGATAAAATTGACCTACACTTCCCCCCTCAAATACAGCCTGCCTGTTGGATCATTAAAACCAGACAGATCTTGCCTAACATCCAACAAAAGATGGGAATCTTCTTACCTTTCAAAAATACTCGAAATCTCTGGTGAATCTCATGATTTCTTGGATTTTGCCCATCTGGATTCGTCAATACAGCTGCATAAAGATGGTCCAAGCTCATGGAATCATAGACTTTGCAGGGAATTTTGAATGTGGTCAAAAGACAAAGAGTGGTCCATCCTCTATCAGATGGTAGGTAAGATCTGCCTGGTTCTAGTGATCCAACAGGGGAAAGCTTTAAGGTTTGGGGTAAAGCCCTGATTTTTCTGCACAATCCCAAGGTTAAATGTACTTCGAAATAGTGCATTATCATGCACAAGGGTTCAAATGATTAGCAGGCCATTGTGGCATTGGCTGGAATGGGGACTGGCCTATTTTGAGGTCTCCCAGCTCAAGCTTTCTTATCAGCATCTCCATAAAATATTGTGTTCTGCCAAGTGCACTGGGCATGTAATGTATGCACAGACAGACAAGCTTTAATTTACCCCCCCCCCCCAATAGCTCCTCTCTCTTTGTCTCATACACATCTATCTACCCAATCTTTCATTCTTTTCATCTTTTGGGGCTTTTGATCAGCAGCTTGACTTTGCTTTCTCTTGAGGGATGAGTTTTTTTTTCCTGAAGAGTTGTCCATCTGTTGACCGTGTCTTCTTTCTTTCAGAAGTCTGTATATTACATTTATGATTTCATCCTTATTCTTGCTCTTTTGGAAGGCCTGCAGTTCTATATACCCTGTGCAAACTAATCAAACCGATGGAAAATAGATTCAGACCCAGGCATACTTACATATTTTCCACTGCCAGCTATGTTTTTTTTTCAATTCTTTGGCAGCAAGTGGCGTGCACTAATTTAGACCAGCATTTTGTCTTTGTTGTGGCGATGTTTACTAAAAGATGATGAAGGTAGATTCAATTGATTTTTGTCTATGGTTGTGTTGGTTCCTGTTTTGGTTGATAAGGTGACCCAGAAGGGAAGTTGTATGTACGAGCTGATCGAAGGGTGTTCTCGATTACAGTAATGTTGATTGGGGGAGTCCTTCCTTACCAGCCGGGTTGCTGTTGTGGTTGTTGAGTGTCGTCGTGGAAGTCGGAGGAGGGATTGTAGCCATAGTTCCGAGTGTATGGATGTGGTCGTCATGGACCAAGCAAAGAGCCGAATGACCACCACCTCCAATCGTTGATCATGGTTTTTTTTGGATTTGGATCAGTTAAGAAACACTTTGATTAAAAGAGTACAACTTAAGCATCTCAAGTATTGCAGTCCAAGGCTGAAGCCCGAGTTTGTTTGTACTTCCCTAGCAAGGATACTCCGATCTGTAAGACTTTGAAGCCGTTTATATACAACTTCAGCCAAGCGTCCCTCTTGACCGTCTCCAACCTAAACAAACCCCTTTGCACCTGCACTTCCACCCCATTGGTCCTTCTCCTTCTCCCTCTTCCTCCTCCTCCTGCTCCTCCTCATCAGCATCATCATCGCCATCATTTTGTTTGTCTCCCATCTGTTTTGACGAAAGGCAGCGGAATTTTACTTCAAGACTTTCATCTTTTGAAATCCCTGGATTTTTGATTTTCCATTTGACGTGGACCTCTCGACCTGTAGAAACTCACACACACACACTCCCACATACAACTTCTCTCTCTCTCTCTTTCTACATATTATAAATATATAACGTATCTCTATCTCTGTTCGGAACTTCGGCCGCTTTGTTCTTTCTTCTTTAACAAGCTTCCTCTTCCCGCCTAGTGCTATAGATAATCATATCCTCGTTCCATTTGGTCTGTTTGTTCGTTTGACTCGCCCCAGCGCAGTGAACCTACCTTCCTTCTACCCATCCTCTCTTCGCTAGTCAACCGTTTCATCATCCTCAAGCTCGAGTCTATCAAGTCGAGCTCTCCACGCCATCTCACACATCTCCTGATTCCATACCTTGAAGCGAGAAAGCGCAAACCAATCGAACACTTCCTCATTCTGTTACGAGATCATTAATATCACATCAATCCATCTCTCGTCCCCTTCTAAAAAGCTCCTTCAACCTTCATTTCACTCTTCACGATCATCGCACCCATGACTTCGTCTCTAGCCCCCCATCTCAATCCTACTCCCAACCGGTCGTCTTCTCCTTCGGGCCTACAATCCAACATGAAAGCTAATAACGTCTATCGTCACCAGCACTCTCTTTCAACCTCAACCCCTGGGAATCAACACTTTGGCTCACTCTTCAACCATTACGGCGGTGCACGAAGCGCCGGTGGTCCAAGGCAGAGCTTGGATGTCACCAAAAGTCTAGCTGTCAACGGCCCGATCAGCCCTCGCCCCCCTGGATTGACTCAACTCCGACCCAACAGTGAAATCTTATCAGCCAGTGGCAGTCACGGTGGTGCTAGCGGTGGTAGCAATGGTCAACCCAACCAGGGCGAATCAGGTGAGGGTATGTACACATTTACGTTCGCGTATCTGTACAATTCCTGTTTTGAGGGGTCTAGTAGTGACTGACAACTTTATATTCTCTCTTTCACACATCCAGCCGAAGCTATTGATAAGTGGTTTGAAGATCTGCAAAGCTATGAAGCTACCCTAGAGGAAATGGCCGCTGCAAGTTTGGATGTCAATTTTAAAGAAGAAGTGAGATGAATTTTTTATTTTTCTCCTTCAAAGCAGCTCAGCATCATGCTAATCTATCACCTTCCATTTGCTTGTTGATGCTAGTTGAACGCCATCGAACAATGGTTCAGAGTCCTTAGCGAAGCGGAGCGGACTGCAGCACTGTATTCCTTGATGCAGGTAGGTTGAAGGTTTTGATTTTTTTCCCCAGTCACATGTCTTTGAGGCCTGACTCCGCCGGTGAATCTATTAGTCTTCCACTCAGGTTCAAATACGGTTTTTCATTACCGTTTTGCAACAAATGGCTCGCAGTGATCCCATGATATCAATGTTAAGTCCGGCATTGAACCCTTCAAGTAAGTATTTTCCACCCTTCAATTTGGATTTTGTTGAGATAGTGATCGACCTCCTAATGGGTTATCCTTTCTCAGCTCCCTCTATGGAACAGCAAATGGAAGCCAAACTCTCCCAACTTAGCATGAAGTCCCCCGCTTCCCCGATTGTCCGCCAGTTTGCTCATCAATCGCTTACTCCCAACGTCAACGTCACTTCAACTGATAATTTCCTCAGCCCCAACTCGGCCTTATTCAACGAGCCCAACAACTCAAATGATCCTGCGAGCTTACTTTCTGCTCAACGTGCCAAGCTGAACGCCAAAGCTGCCAATCGACTTTCCGCCCCAGGTCAACTTTTGAGCGCTAGCAACAGTCTCAAGAGCCCGAAATGGAACACTGCCCCGGGCCCTGTTGAAGAAGAATCTCACAGTCGCGCATCAAGTCCTAGACCCAGATCTAACGGTGCGGAGTTTAACAACAACTCTCAAAATACGCTTCACCCCGGATTTGCCCATTCTATCAACTCCACATCAGGAATCGAGGGTCAACTAAGTCCGATCATGGGTGGTAGCTGGGCTAGTCAAGTCAACACACCCCTGGTCCCCATGTTCGGCAACAAAGACAAGGCTAACGGTCAAAGCCATGATACCACAGCCACAAATGTTTCTGATGTCAGCAATCGACTTGCGCAATGGGGGGCTGCTCATCAAGCGGGGTCAAACGGCGCCTCCCTCTCCTCTCAATCGGTCTCGTCCAACCTTGCCCTACCTCAATCTTCTTCATTGAATGGTTTCCCATTGGATGATGCCCGCAAGTTCCGACGACAGAGCAAGAGTGCTGCTGCTGATGGCTCTGCTGGTATGTGATTCCAACTTCTTGATTTATTGTAGCTAGTCGTTACTTATTCAGATGAAATTCAGGTTTTTCGGGGGTTCTTTCTGGCATGAACACTAACAACAATAGCGTTGGCTCAGCTCAAGCAAACAACCTCTCCACCAACACTAGTCAATCTGCCACTCATAACCCTAACACAAACACCGTCAATACACCCCGCTCAGCCATGAGCAACGGAATGCCTCTGTCTAGTCCCATGAACGCACAATCGATGTTGGGGGCTCAAAAGGCCGCTGTGGCTGCTCAACAAAACTGGCGCCAAGGACTGAACACTGCATCCATGCCATCCATGAACCAGCCCGATCCAACCATGCTGAAAGACCTTGCCATGATGAATACGCTCGCTGCTGGTCTCAACGGTGGAATTAATGGAATGAACATGAATGGTATGGCAAACTTGGCGGCAGTGGCGAAGTAAGAAGAATTTCCTAGCTTTTATTTCTGTTTGGCCCTATGATTAATGTATTTTATTCTTTTAATACTTGATTTCACAGTATTGCCGACCCTGCCGCTCTACAAAACATGGCCAACTTGTTGAACATGCGTCAACAAATGCAACAGGTACAAAACCTCCAGTCACTTCAACAGCAACTACAGCAGAGCGGCATGATGCCTGGTGGTGCGATGGCTTCGCCTGGTTCAGCTAGATTTGGGATGAACTTTGGATTCCCAATGATGTCCGGAAGTCCGAATGGGATGGGCAACAACAAACGCAGCCCGGCCGGACGGGGCTCGGGCAAGCCGACCCACACGCCAGGCTCAGGCTCGAATCCGGATGAGGACTTGGACATGAATCTCCTGAATGACATCCCTGCTTGGCTTCGAGGTTTGCGCTTGCACAAATACACGCCCAACTTTGCGGGGTGCACTTGGCAAGAAATGGTCTTGATGAGCGACGCGACCCTCGAGGCCCGCGGGGTGGCTGCCGTCGGCGCGCGGAGAAAGATGCTGAGGACGTTTGAGACGGTCAGGATCATCAAAGGGATGGCCTTGCCCGGCGACGGCGACAACAAACCGGCGGCCCCCACAAGCAATACCGATGGACAAGGAGCTGACCAAAACTCCAAGCCAACCGATACCGCTCCGGCACCTGAAAGCGACAAGGACACACACAAATACTGATCGACAATGTACAGATTTCCTTTTTGATATCCCTCTTTTCCAATCTCACTTGGCATGCTTTGTTTAATATCAATCAATCTGCAGATTGAAGGAACTGTCGAAAATCGTTCTGTGATGAAGTTTTCCCTCTTCCACTTTTCTTCTCTTTGTACTCGAACTTTTTTTGTTTTGTTTATCAGTCAACAGGGAACATTGGTCGATCTCAAGCCCTTTAGCCTCCTCAATCCTCTTTTAATACTGGTCGCAAAGACTCGACCCAGCGAAGATCTCTTTTTAGCGGTATTTTCTTTTTCTCCCTTTTCCCTATCGTCTACTCGGTCTAGACGTTTTTGTACTCGGATCCAAACCTATCTGGTATCCTTTCCGGCCGTCCATCTCCACCACATGCTCAACTATAACGTGCTCTATCAACACATGATTTGTTTAACGACTCTTTTTTCCCCCCCTTGCTCCCCATGCAGTTCTTTCTTTTCTTTGTAAATACATATAGCATTCTCTTCCTTTAATCGTGTTTGTGTCTGTTTGTTGCTGGTCTTCTGTGTTCCCGTTTTTTTTTTTTTTGCTCATTTAATTGTCCCTTCTGTACGGTGTACATACGCAATCCATGCGCTTTGCTTATTCGTATCGGAGTCGCTCTCCAATCCATTGACCCCCCCAACCTCCAAATGCTACTGGCAGTCTGGATTTGGTTGGTTCGTTTCCTTTTTACCGATCCAGTGATTCTTTTCATCGTATCAATTGGCACATTGCAACCTGGAAGACGTCTCATTGGTTCTTCAGCTCTTGCGGAAGCAGATTTAGAACCGCTGCATAGAACCAGATTCCAATGTGAAGACTTGGAGTCTCTTGGGTCTTCAACTTGCACTTTCCCTCAGGTGGGACATCCAAATGGGGCCTTACCTAAATCCACAGAATTTCTAGGATTTTGCACTTAGGTTATAAGAACGCACCTTTTCAGATCAGCCAGATCGAGCCCACATGGCATGTGATGCAATGTTATTTTTGGTACATTTTACTTGATCCACTATTGCACAGGTGACGATTTCCCGCAACTCTACCTCTGTGCATATATTCTACTACTTGAAATCAAACATCCTCCGTTCTGATCCTCCTCGGAGTCCTGCAGTCCTTCAGATTAGGGCTCTTAATTTTTAACCTTTTTTTTAAGTGAAATTTGGCCTATGGCATGGTCTCATCCAAGGCCCAGGAGATTTATGCTTCAGCAAGATCAACATTTTATTGGTCTAATCAACTGCTTGAGCAGCAATATTGGGCTACCAAGCTATTTGACCAAAACATGTCAGCATAGATAAGCAGTCCAATCTATTTGGATGGGGCTGGTACCACAATGTTAGTGGAATTTTGATCGTCTCTACTGCAACACCTTTCCCCAAAAAGTGATTTAAAACAGCATACTGCCAGTTGCCATAGACATTGGTGTTGGCCAACACTCAATGGGAAATGCTGGAGTGTAGCTATATTTAATCGTACTTATGGCTATTTGCTGTCTTTGCTTAGCCTCATGAGCTAGAATTTCTCCAGATAGAGATTTTGTCCAACATCTCAGGCACCCAATAATACAAGTTGGTTTGGTTATTCTAATTGATGGGTGCAGACCAGAGTGATTAATTCAGCCTGGTAAATCAATTTTTTTATTTTCTTTTTATTTTAAGATGATAAGAGCAAGACAGCAGGGGTTCCAGGATTTGTCAGACCAAAAAAAAGATATAAGGTCGCATGAGGTGTGAACCCACAATAGATTAAGATATCTGCAAAACAGCACTAATTCCCATCTTTCTTCCTCAAATCCCTTTTTCAAAATCAAAAGGTTGTATGTTTCGTTGAACCTGTTTGATCTTGTTGATATCCTGACCTGAAATATACTCCAATGATAAGGCCTGCAAGGGCAGTCATACATCCTATGTAAGTACCTTCAGCAACAAACTCAATGCAACTATTTTTTTTCGGCAGGCTTCAAGCCGCCATGTCTGAACGTGTTGCAGGGACATCAACTTGCGCCTGCAACTGGCGAAAAGTTGTTGCACTTCACATTGACACCAACCGATCGGCTAACTTGACTTGACTATTTACCGTCATGACATGGATTACCCGTGGTGCTCAGACAGGAGGCCCAGATGATGCTTGTTTTTGGGAGCGTCCAGAGCCCTCTGGGTTGCTCTAACCCATCGCAGCGACATCAATGTACTCAGACAAATATCATTTGCTGACAATTGGTTGTACAGTGGGTAGACAGTGAAAAGTGGCTGCTTATTTTGGATTCCAGAGCTCTGAAATACAAAATTGAAGTCATAAGACTTGGTCAGGTGGTGCATAATAGCTCCCAAACTGTCAGACACTGAGACACTAGCCCAGGTGTCTACAATAGAATGTAACCCCCTTGGGTTACATAACAATTATTATTATGTGTAATCTTTAAGTTAATAACTATTAAGTAATGTTATCTCTTTTTACATGTATTTTTTATGTTAATAATTATTCTGTAAATTAATAAAGATTCACCTCTTTATTAATTTACCTCTTCCATGAAAATTATAATCAAGTTGAAAAGGATAATTATCTCCTGGGTGTATCCAAGAGATGATTATCCAATTTACCTCTCTTGTGTGTATGTTTATTATGTTTATCTCTCTTATGGTATTTTCTGAAATAAAAGATATTCAACACATGTACATTTATCATGCTCTGAATATCCTGACACTTTCCCCCAAGGAAAAGTGTAACAATAAGGGGACTGCACCGGTCCCAGCAGCAGAATTGACCCCTGCTATGTAATATTTAAGAGGATGTCTCTCCCCCTGAGATTCATCCCCCAGACATTATTACCATACAAACCCAATCACCTTACTAGATATTAAAATACTAATAAATAGTGAGTGGGGTTTTTACAATAGTCTTAACATATTAATTACTCTTTTCCTTATACTCATTACTAGCCTTATAAGTTACTTATTTAACTTATAAGACTAGTACCAACCCTTTTCTCTTATATTAACTGAGCTCAGGCACTGTGAAGCTCATTCCACAGCTGTCCCTTATTTTTATAAGGAGCCAGTCCCTCCACTGTACCAGTGTTGAGTTGGACTTCTTTCCACTGGCCCTCTTGGCTATAGTGTGACCCAAAAACCCTATCAACTCTAGGTCACATAAGAGACCAGAGCTGACACAAACCATGAATATGAAATAATAAAAGCAAAAAATAAAGTTTGAAAATTTGTGAAAAATAAAAAATAAACTCGATTTTTTTCAAGGGCCTTAATAAAAAAACGCGGGTTTTCCGTGTTTTGACGCGGTTTTGATGCGCCGCAGCACACGCGGTTTCCGCTTTTAGACGCGGTTTTTTAATTAATTTTTTACGGCTTATTTTTCGAGTTTTTTCGAAATTTTAAAATTTATTCCTACACTATGAAAGGTGTAGAATTTAATGGTAAAGTCCATTTTCCATAAAAATGAATTTTGATTATTAATTTTTTTTTTCCACTTATTTTTCAATTAATTGTTTGCATGCATGTATGTACCTTATTTTTTATGCTTTTGTGAAATTTTAAAATTATTTCCTAGGTTTCAATGTGTGTAGAATTTAATGGTGCAATCCAATTTTTTTAAAACTCAACGGTTCATTTTTAATACTGAAATTAGACCCATTTTTTCACTTAATTTTTTACAGCTTAATTCTCATCATTTTTTGACATTTTAAATTTATTTCCCACACTTTAAGACATGTAGAAAATGATGGTAACAACCATTTTTCCCCAAAATGAAAACTATACCTTGAATGCCGCATTTGACACGTTTTTTTTAATTAATTCATCACTTTTTCACTTAATTGTTTGCATACATGTGTGTACCTTATTTTCTATGCTTTTTTGAAATTTTAAAGTTTTTTCATACATTTAAAAGTGTGTAGAATTCAATATTAACATCCAATTTTATTAAAACTCAACAGTTCATTTTTAATACTGAAACTAGACACTTTTTTCAATTAATTCTTTACATGTTATTTCTCACTATTTTTTGACATTTTAAGTTTATTTCCCACACTTTAATACATGATAAAAATGATGGTAACAATCATTTTACATAAAAATCAGCGCTTGTTACTGAATACTGCAGTGGACAGGCTTTTTTTAATGTTTTTTGATTGATTTTTACCGGCCTGATTTTAAGCATTTTTTTTTATTTCAAATGTTTAGAATTGAATGGTGAAGTCCAATTTCACTCAAAATACAAGCTTCAATCTTAATAGATGAGTGTACCCTGTTTCTTGCATAATTTGTACCATATACAAATTTTATTTGAATGCAAAATGGATACAGCCATCAATTCTGAAACCTTTAAAAGTGTAGGAAATGAGCTTGAAATTCCAAAAAATAAGGATAATTGAGTGTGTAAGAATTAATTCAGGAAACACGTCAAAGGCATTATTCAAGATATAGTTTTCATTTTGATGAAAATTCATTGTTGCCATAATTTTATACATGTTTGAAAGTGTAGGAAACAAATTTAAAATGTCAAAAAATAATGAAAATTAAGCTCTTAAAAATCAATTGAAAAATATGACTAATTACAGTATCCAGAATGAACCGTTGAGTTTTATGGGAATTGAATGTTACCATTAAATTTTACACACTTTTAAATGTAGGAAACAACTTTAAAATTTCAAAAAAGCATAGAAAATAAGGTACACACATGTATGCAAACAATTAAGTGAAAAAGTGATGAATTAATTAAAAAAAACGTGTCAAATGCGGCATTCAAGGTATAGTTTTCATTTTGGGGAAAAATGGTTGTTACCATCATTTTCTACATGTCTTAAAGTGTGGGAAATAAATTTAAAATGTCAAAAAATGATGAGAATTAAGCTGTAAAAAATTAAGTGAAAAAATGGGGCTAATTTCAGTATTAAAAATGAACCGTTGAGTTTTAAAAAAATTGGATTGCACCATTAAATTCTACACACATTGAAACCTAGGAAATAACTTTAAAATTTCACAAAAGCATAAAAAATAAGGTACATACATGTATGCAAACAATTAATTGAGAAATGAGTGAAAAAAATAATTAATAATCAAAATTCATTTTTATGAAAAATGGTTTTTACCATTAAATTCTACGCCTTTTATAGTGTAGGAAACAACCTTAAAAATTCAAAAAAACTCAAAAAATAACCCATAAAAAATTAATTAAAAAACCGTGTTTAAAAGCGGAAACCGCGTGTGCTGCGGCGCATCAAAACCGCGTCAAAACGCGGAAAAACCGCGTTTTTTTATTAAGGCCCTTTTTCAAAAGCTTTAATATTCATTTTGAGGGAGTGGGAGTGCTGAGAGAAAGAAAGAATGGAACATGGGAAGAATGATTATAAATGAAAAAAATTGGAACCAAAAAAGGTTTGGCCAGGTTGGTGGTCCAGATTGGAGCCAAAACAGTAAATTCTAGTGCTTTGCTGCAATGTGGGCTGGTGAATGCCCCACTCAACAGCTGTTTGAAGCCATCTGAAAACCAGTTTTTCTAAAATTTTCATTTATAATCATTCTTCCCATTTCCCAATCTTTCTTTTTCTCAGCACTCCCACTCCCTCAAAATGAATATCAAAGCTTTTGAAAAAAATCAATTTTGTTTTTTTATTTTTCATAAATTTTGAAACTTTATTTTTTGCTTTTATTATTTCATATTCATTTTTTGGGACCTCTTATGCACCACCTGACCAAGTCTCATGATTTCAAATTTGTGCTCTGGAGCTCTGGAATCCAAAATAGGCAGCCACTTTTCACTGTCTAGGCACTGTACTTGGTAATTTACCCTGGATTGGCTTACTCGACTCAAGTCTTGCGGTCACAAAAGGCACTAGTATGATGCTCAGGCAGAGCTGGCCGGCGGCAAGACTTCATACTGCAATGTCTATATTGAGTGTTTCTGAGACCTTGATCAAAGTGGTGTATCGGTATACTATTGGGAAACTTCTCAAGTTGAAGACTTGAGTGACCCATCATTGCTTGACCCGACATGTTCTAGCAAAGACCTTCTTCCCTCAGCTCAATCTTGGGAAAGCGGAATAATAATCCTCAGACAGTTGCCCTCCCCAAGTAAGCACTTGTATACAAACACCTGCTGACTTGTAATAGTATGCAAGACTCAGTATGACGGGCCGGGGAAATGACAATACTTACATGTGATGGGCACCTGTGATGCCCATAAAAGGCCACCCACCTTACCAGCTTGCTCAATCCTGAAGAAATACATGTTGTTTCTCTCTTGCCAACTAGTATTCTTGCTCACTACAGCCAATAACACGTGGTAATTTAATTTCACTTTGCTGATGCTTTCCCACATGGTTTCCTCATTCCAGTTCTCAGTGATCGGGTTTATCCAATGAGGTTTGACGCATGTAAAATAAACACCATTGCTGATGACTGTTTTCTTCTCTAACTCTACTCAGTTCAACTTCCAATTCAAATAAAATAAAATAAATTGCTTTACATCCAAGCCAGCTCCACTGACTTCTTTATCTCCAAAGGTCACAATGTTAACACTTCAATCTATAATGGTCCTAACCACCCTGATTGTCAAGGTGGAAGCAGGAACGTTTTTGACCAATTATCCAATACCACTTTTCCTTTCTTTGTGAACTACATGATCCTTGATAGTCAAGCTCCCCAAGGAGTTGGTACAGTTATATTAACCAAATCGGACAAAGACAGTGGTCAAATTGTCTCAGACAGACAACAAGGCATCAAGTACAAGAATCAATTGAAACAGAGGCTCTGGGTTTACAATGGAAATGAAAGAAGAGAATTTGTGGAATTCTCGCCAAACGGAGTTTCTCAACTACAATTGATTAAGGGAAAATGATTGTGGGTTGGTACTCTTTACAGGACCTTCAGGATGAATATCTCAAGGTATGAAGCCATCATACTACCTGTACTCATAGCAATACAGCTATTTTGGAAAGGGTTGTCCAGTTGTCTCGCAATTTTTTTTTTTTGAAATTTTTGAAATTTTTCTTTGTACTGAACTACAGCCAAGGAGGTACAGCTGTCATCACTAGTTCAGTTCTGACAGGTCCAGTTCAGTAAAAAAATAAAAAATAAAAAAGAATTCGCGAGTCCAAGTGGACAAGACTTCCCGAAATAGCTGTAAATGAAGATAGGTTTATTCTTCAGGAACCCAAAGCTTACCACCATCAGAAAGCAATGACTCACCTCAATCAAAAGGGGCTTACTAATTCACAGCCCAAGATGGAATGGTTTTGGGAGTATCCTCCCCGAGAGAACCCCTCAGATTTCTGGCCAATTACTCTATTCAAAGATTGGGACAAGAAGCTTCTCAAAGAGGTTTGATACGGTGGGAAATCATGGTGCATCATCCATCCAAATTTCATTTCCACTTCAAAAAATAGTGCTGGACTTCCATTTAGGATAACTCGTGGTGTCATGCCACGGAGAGGTGCTTATTGAGTAATCAAAAATGTCCAAGCAAAGACATTAAAGAAATCCATCTCAGTTCACGTGGGGGATTTTTCAAGTATCCTACCACCTATAGCCGCAGGCAAAAAGAATAGCATACCCTTCAATAAGCCCGGCAACTGGGCTGTGATTACTTTATTTGATTGGGCAGCACCACTGCAGCATGACGTGTACAAGCTCCTTACAAGCTGGAACAATGATCACATGAAAAATATTAAGCTTGGGGAAGGTGAGGTAGAGCATGGAATTCAGCTTGGTTTGTGGGATATGTTTACACATTCATGTGTCAAAGCATTAAAACAAGAAGGATCTGATTATGAATTCCTTGGGAAATTTAAATCTGATTGAAGTTTGAAGCATCAGATTCTATTCTTAATCCATGAAAAGGAAAAATCAACAAGCAGCTTGGATTTGAATAATAAATAGTATCAGAGGTGACTTGTAGGAGATAATTGAACTTCCTTGTTTGGGGAAAGCTTATATTTTTCAAGAATTGGTCCTCTTCTCTAGAGAATTGGTCCTCTTCTCTAGTTCAGTTATTCTATTCATCAAGATTTGTATAATCAAACAAAATTCCCATCATTGTTCAACATTTTAATTGCATGACTCCATTCATTCATTTTTTCTTAAATTCTGTTGACAAAGAGATTCACAAGGTTTAGACCCAGTTACCCTATGTCCAAAACTCATTTTATTGAACATTTCCACAATCCTTTCAGAATCCAGTATTGTTACAGAACCATAGGAAAACTAATTGGTTTTATTTTCCTGTCTGGTTAATGTGTGTAGATCCGTAGATTTGGGAAGGATTTCCTCTGACATACATTTCTGACATTTCAAGGTTATTTTTGAATTCTCAATAACAATCAAAATCACAATCTTGCACTCCTTTTATTTTTATTTTCACCTCAGAATGCTATCTATATTTGATTACAGAACATCAGTTTGGACCCGTGGCTAGGTACCCAGAACTACCTGGCAGGTACCGCTGGGTGTGGTCCTAAATGTCTGTTCTTGGCTGAAAGAAAATTCAGTAACCAGGTATCTTTGGGGGTAGCCGCCTCACAGTCTTTGCTAACTTAACCCAAGCTCCTTGATTGTAGGACCAGGTATAGCCAGGAAGGTGCAAAGCAAGCCTCCAAACAGAGGCTTGCTTTCCAAGGTGCCCCTGGCACGCCAGGGTTCCCCTGTCCCTCTGGAAAAAGGGTATTGTGTTATTTTGGTAATCTTTGATCATAGTTCTTGAATTAAGCAACTCTATTCCAGCAGTTGTTTATGCACTGGCCAAGATCCCCCCCCCAAGAAAATATGTAATTTCAAGTCCAAGCCAAAAAAGAAGTGATACTATTTGGAAGCCTGTTTTATATCATTGCATTCTGTGTGACAGATCATGCACAATTTGTGCATTGTATAATTTATAACTGAGAAAAGGATATAATCAAAAAGCAGTGAAAAAGAAACCAAAAACACTCATTTTGGGATATTCTTACCAACTTGACCTTTGGATTTAAATATTTCAGTTCATTTTGAGCCCTTTGTGAGAGCAGTTCATAGCCCCCAGACCTTCTTGGCTAGATTTTTAGTTCAACATTTCACAGATCACTTTAAACTGATGAGGATGTAATTGCTCTTTGATAAGTACAAGAGGTTTGGATGGTTGGATCAAGACAGTTTTGGGGTGAAAATTCCTTGAATGGGTGAACAGGAACTGGGACTAAGTTTCAGGCTTATACTACTTATGGAGGTATGAATCTGTAGTGTTATAGCCGTAGACTAATATTCAGATAGAAAAGATGATCAGTTTTCATTCAAGGCCCAGGACAAAGCTCTTAAGACTTACTCAAGCTTCCAGCAGCAAAGATCCAGGGAAATCCACAGCTAAGACCTATAGTTGAGTTGGGAATAGAGGAATCTGAGGTAACAATCAATGGGTAACAGTACAGGTTACCAAAGCTTGTACCAGAGGAAAGGTTCAGGGTGTTTGAAATATGGTTGTAAGGTATAAACATAAGGGGTATTTCTAAATAGGACTTTATGAATGCTCTTCAAAATGGGGGAGATTTATAATATATCTTCAAACCTCAATTACATGTTGCTTGTATTTAATCTTCTCAGAAGAAATCACACTGTAAAATCTGAAGATTTCTCTCTTGAGTATGATTTTTTTGTCAGTATGACTAACTCATTTCCTGTGTCTGCCTGCCAAAGTTTTGTGTCGGGGGATAAACCTATGAAATTTCAGCTGTAAATTTGAGGTTTAAGACCCTCTCCACTGGGCAACATTGTATGAGTTGATAAATTTCCAAACTTGCTAGCTGTGGCAGAGTTATAGCAGCACAATGAGATTTTATGTTCCACCACAGGTTGCCAAAAGTAGACATGCTGTATGTGAAATTGATAGCAGGAGAGATTGAAAGTGGGGGAGACAAAGAGTAAACAAATATCACCCTGTGAAACCAATGGATTGGGGAGGTATTTGGGTTGTATTTACAGTGATTGCATATCTGACAATGCTATACTACCTGTGAAGGTGAAAACTAAATTTACATAACGTTTAGCACCCCCATTGGAAGCTGTATTCTGGGTTTGGGGAGGCAAATTTATTTTACTTGCAGGATATAAACTAAGGGTGTGCCCTGGGGTCTTGCCCCAAGGTGTGACCCCAGGGCTCAGGGCATTGAGATGAGTCTTGTGGACACCCCGAACCCCAGGGTGTCAACTTTTCTTGCTTGGATATGGATTTCACATGATCTTTTTGGGGATTTCATGTTTTTTTTGGTGGTTGGAGGCATTAAAAGTTGCTCCTTGGGTCGATGAATTTGCCTAAACAGTCCTTTGGAGGGGGAAAAAGAAAAAAGAAACTGAGGAAAGGATGATATTGGACTAAGCAACCCAGAGAAAGGGTCTGGAGGCTGATTATTCGGCTCTCAGAAAAAAAAGGTCAGGCCCTGGGGTTTGGGATGACCCTCATGCCCCGTCCCGAACCCCTGGTCACACCCTTAATATAAACCCCTGGATGGAGATGGTCTAACACAATGCAATACCAACCTATGCACTCCTGTGGGACTGAACCAAGCAGCTGAAAATCACAGACTTTGCGATTCACCAGTACACTGTGAGAACATCTCTCTGAACTGGCACCAGTTGACATGCAATATTATAAAGGTGCCTTTTAATATTGCATGTCAACTGCCGCCAGTTCAGCAAGATTTTTTTTCACAGTGGTATAGGTTCTGCTTTCTCATTTAATTCTTCATACCTTTTTTTGATCCTGTAACTTGACTGCTTCAGCTTGGAATGGGTTAATACCTAGACAAAATGAAGCTCAGAACAGAGCCAAAGGCTCAGACGATTGTGGATTTGATGCACTCATATATGCACACACTGCACAAATTAACTCATTGGGCAAGCCAGTCCGATGAGTGCTTGGACTGACGTTGTCTGATGAGTTAGTTTATGCAGTGACATGTTATGGTGATTATCTTGGTTATTTTGGGACTTCTTTTGCAGGTACCAGCTCCATTATATAGTATAACTGAAATGGTCCAGAAGCACACTCAACCTTGTTTGAATTAGAATTGAGATCTCCAAAAGCAAAAATGAAGATTATAAACACCGTCCATTGAGGAGCGCAGAAATCCCAAGATCTCTAATTCCAATTGATGAATCTGATGATCAATACCAACAGTAGACATTTTGTTTCTTCTTTCAATTGTTGCAGTTTTTTTCCTAGTCATCACTCCTGGTCTCCCAGTCAAATTTCTCAACTTCTTTCCAGCATTTTTTTAAAACAATCATTGAAAAAAAGAACCAAAACAACTTCAAAGTGGTCTTTTTATTGTTTGGAAATATGATGCAATCAAGTTTGTTTTATCTAGCTATTTATCCCTCCAGGTCTTGTTTGCCTGATCCAAAAACCCTTGAGCTAAAAAGGATCAAGAGAAAAATAAAAACAGACGACTAAGATTCTTTGACTCTTCCTGGTTGCCAATCTTCTCATCTTTTTCTGTTCATTGTTTTTTTGTCTCTCTTAGTCTTATGTACTTTTTCTTTTTTTTCCTGTCTTGGTGCAAGTAAGAAGTCACCCATTCATCAGAATGTAACAGTGGGTGTGGATTGACTTCAAATAAATATGTAGGCTGAATGCAGTGTGTTCATTGATGGCTTCCTTTTTTTCTGCTTGGGTGCAAATGCTGAATAAGGAGTCAAGTGGCAAAATTGTACACACAGGCTTCAACAAGTTGCATCTATGTGTATATGCATATTGTGTGGTTTATTTGGTTTTAAGACTTTGTTCATTCAGACATCGTCCCCCCCCCCCCTGGCTTGTGACGAGGTGCAGGCGCTATGCAGAGGAGGCCACTTGAAGAGGTGGAGGCTGTTCAGTCTGTATGGATATATAGGTTTCGTCTCGGTGGAGTTGAGGCGAGGCTATGTTCTGTGTACAACTGGTGGCCGTCCAGACTGGGTTCAGATTGGCTGAGTGGGCTGGTTTTTAGTGTTGGAGTGGCTTATGTGAGTGTGCTCCGTAGACTGGCCAGTCGGATAATCGACGATCCAGACTCACTTCACAGCTCTCACTCCGAACTTGCCTCTGCAATCGAGAAAACCATCCGGAGTTCAACTTCAACTTCAACCGTCCCCTGTCTCATCACAACCCGCCCCTTCTTCTTCTTCTTCCTCTTCTCCTCATCCCTCACTCCCACATCTTCTCCTTCTTCTTCCAACTTGAGACAACCAGTCTGTACGTCCCTCAGTCTCACCCCCACCACCACAAGCAAGAACTGACTATTAATTCACAACAGACACAACACAACGACAACATCAAGCACAACCCTCTCAATTCGACTCGATGGCTTCATTGGCTCCAGTTCGACCACCCTCTGCTACTTCCAACCGATCACCCACCCCTTCATCTCAACAGCACAACAACGTCTTCCGTCATCAGCACTCTCTCTCCTCATCCACCCCTTCCAACCAACACTTCGGAGCCCTCTCCCCCCGCTATGGCCCCCCTCGAAGTGCTGGCGGGATGAGGCAGAGCTTGGACAACACCAAACAGTCCATCGGCAACCCCCCTGTCAGCCCCCGTCTGCCTCCTGGATCCGCTGGTCACAACATCCGTCCGAATAGTGAGATGCTCGGATTGAGTGGTCAACAGCAACTCCACGGTGGACCCTCCCTAGAAGGTAAACTCACACACTCCTACATAATCATCAATTCTTCCCAGAGTGATTGACACATGCTCCATCTGACAGCCGAAGCCATCGATAAGTGGTTCGAGGATCTACAAAGCTACGAAGCAACGCTCGAAGAAATGGCCACAGCTAGTTTGGATGCTAGCTTCAAGGAAGAGGTATGTAAACCAATCCTCAATCTTGATCTACTCGCTCAATATCGAATATTGATCGATTTAATCCTAACAATAATTCCAGTTGAGTGCGATCGAGCAATGGTTCCGAGTTCTAAGTGAGGCCGAAAGAACTGCTGCCCTATACTCTTTGTTACAAGTAAGTCCAAAACCCCTTTTTTCAAATATCTGCCAACCCATTATTGACACACACCTCATCCCTTTAGTCCTCCACCCAAGTTCAAATACGATTCTTCATCACGGTCTTACAACAAATGGCCCGCAGTGACCCGATGACTGCCCTGTTAAGCCCCGCTCCTACGGGTAATGGTAAGGATTCCTTGATGGTCTCAGTAATTTTTTTTATCCTTACAGAATGCCCACTGATTCATCATCTCTCTCAATCAATCAAACATCTAGGAGTCTCCATGAAGCAACAAATGGAAGCCAAACTGGCCCAACTAAGCAAGATGTCACCTGCGTCGCCAATTGTCCGACAATTTGCTCGTCAATCACTTGGCCCCAACACTTCATCCAACGAGCCATACCTTAGTCCCAACTCTGCACTCCTCAGTGATTCCAATAATTTTAACACCAGCCCAAACGATGCAGCAGCTTTACTCGCTAGTCAACGTGCAAAACTGCAGTCCAAAGCAGCTAATCGTGTTTCTGCCCCTGGTCAGCTCCTAGGAGATAGTAGCCTGAAGAGCCCCAAGTGGAGCAATTTTTCAGGTCCAGTGGAAGAAGAGGCGCAGAGTCGCTCGGTAAGCCCTAGACCCAAGAGCACTAGCAGCGAACTCAACTCTACCTCCTCCAACCAACACAATCCTCCTGCACCTACGCTTTCTCGTACTTTGCCTTCTCCCTGTTCGGGGCAAGAGAGTCAGATGAGCCCGGCCGTCGGGGGTAGCTGGGCCAGTCAAGTCAACACCCCTCTAGTCCCCATGTTTGCTAACAAGGACTCAGCTCACAACCATCATGAAACTCATCAGGCTCATGGCGAGGCTGTGGCGAACCGTCTGGCCCAATGGGGTGCCACTCACCAAGCCGGCTCGAATAGTGCCTCCTTACCCGCTTCTGCATTGGCTCCCTCGAAGGCACGTGGCTCAGTGGACGCCCCACCAACTGGCATTCAATTAGATGACGCACGCAAATTCCGAAGAGCTAGTAAGAGTAACGCCACCAATGCCTCGTCTGGTAAGCTTTCTCTTTGCTTTGAAACCCATTTCATTTTTTTTTGTATGTCCACTGAGGCCGTCCTCTCCGCTCGGCTCGCGCGTTGCAATCTTAGGTTTTTCAGGTGTATTATCCGGTATGAATAGCTCGACCAACAGTACCTCTAGTTCTGCTCAAGCTCCGAACCGATCTGGAAATAATAATCCGGCGAATGGCCAATCAGGAATGTTGAGCCGCACGATGCCTGCTACCAATAATACATCCAATGCACACCTCACATCGGCTATGAGCTCGAGTAGTGGACCTTCTCTACCCGGTCTGATGTCTGCGCAATCATTATTGGGGGCCCCACAGACTGCCATGGCGGCTGCTCAACAAAATTGGAGAAACGGATTAAATAGTCCCAACACGCAATCTCTGAACAGTCCCGATCCAACAATGGTCAACAATCTGGCGATGATGAACACACTTGCTGGCTTGAACGGTGGAATGGACATGAATTCCATGGCGAACTTAGCCGCCATGGCGAAGTAAGTTTCTCTTCTTGAAGTCGATCGTTGTTTGTTTTATTGACCGATGAATTCCTATCTCGATTGCAGTATGACCGATCCGAATGCTCTTCAGAATATGGCCAATATCCTCAACATGCGACAACAAATCCAACAAGTCCAAAGTATACAAGCCCTCCAACAACAGTTACAACAGAATGGGATGATCGCTGGTATGATGAACGCAGCCCCACTTCTCTCACCGGCCAACAATGGCAGGTTTGGAATGAACATGGGATTCCCGATCAACGGCGGTGCAGGAGCCGGTGGCGGTGCAGGAGCCGGTATGGCTGGGAACAAACGAAGCCCCGGTATCGGAGCCCGCCCGGCTGCGGCGGCGAACAAACCGAACCACACACCCGGCTCGGGGGCGAATCCGGAGGAAGAGTTAGACATGAAGCTACTCGGTGATGTATCGGCATGGTTACGAGGCTTAAGGCTGCACAAATATACGCCTAACTTTGAAGGCTGTACGTGGAAGGAGATGGTGATGATGAGCGACTCTGACCTCGAGAATCGGGGAGTGGCCGCGGTGGGCGCTCGCCGAAAGATGCTCAGGACCTTCGAGACCGTCCGATTGAAGACCGGAATGGCCTTGCCCGGTGATGGCGATGGGGCGCGAGACGCCAATGGCGATCGAATCGAATCGGCTACCGGAAACGTTGACAAGGTAGAGGATGAAGATCGTCCGACTTCTCAACACCAACAACCTACCAGCAACGTCTCAGTGACTCCTGAAAGCGATCAATAAAAGCTCCGCCGATCTTTGGTTTCCTCCTTTGAAGTCAAGCCTTGGTCCGATTACTTCTTTCTCTTCCCTCTTTCTTTGTGTAATTTATTGGATTATTTAGATTCTCTCCTCCATCCCTGTTCCCACTTGATTTCTACTACTCTTTTCTTCTTGTATGTATTTTTTTTTATGTATGTGCGATACGGCTTGATCTTCTTTGGTCCTATTACGATCCTTCCCCCCTCTTTCCTCCAGATACATTATCAAAATACTTATACAGATAAACATAAACACACACACATATATATATTTAGATACATACATACTCTCTTATATATATATAGGCTTGACATACGATTCTCTTTTGTATCATACTGTTCGTTCAATCTGAAAACAATGGTGAATACATACATATTTTGGTACTCTCTTTGCCTTTCTTTGTCTACATAGGTGAAGAGATGGCTCTTTTGCAGGTTCATGGATATATACTGGGCCTTCCTCTTTCTATTTCTCGTTTCGGATGATTGACACACAAGGCACTATGGATGTTTGCTTTTGAAGAAATTTTATTTTGAAAAAAACAAAAAAACTCAAATCACAGCGCCAATCGCGATTATGTGGACTGTTCCGCACCTTCACCCCCGGGGAGCCCCGTGGTCCGGCTTGAGGTTCGGCGGTTTGCTGGTGCGCAGCCTCTCGGGAGTCGGAAGTGGGACCGGCAACGCTTCAAAAACAGGGGAAAGAAAATCTACAGCAAAACTACACAACCAGAAGGCTAGAAGACCAAGCGGAATCACTATCCATCAATGGAGAATGATTCGGAGAAGCCAGCGGTGGGGCCATTGAGAAGGAAACCACCGACATCGCCGATCGGTCCACCCATCCCGATTTATGTCTCGAATGGGGAAGCATACATCTGGGCAGTTGACCGTTCGTAGCTCGGCATATCCTGCTTCGATCACATATCCACACATGGTCTCGTTAATCGCTAATGTGGATCGCATTTTTTTATTCTTTTTAGGATAGAGGTCGAACGGTTGAGGATTGATTATCAGATCTCCGGGCTCCTCACCGGCACATTACCGCAACTGGCTCAACAGAACGTGTTTCTTGGACTGCCCTTACAGCTCATGCCAGAAGAAGTTGTGGTCCTGGTAGAACTAGGTTGGGCAACTTTTTTTTGGATCTGATCTATCATCAATAATGAGATCCTGGGGTTATAACTGACCGATGGTGCCCATATTTTCTGTAGGCATAGCGGTTCTAGTTGATGATCTGAAAGCGCATCGGCCAGCGACGGTCGAAGAATCCACCGAATACCAAGCCAGACGGGATCAAGAGATCGCCGAGGAGCGACGGTTGACGGCCATCCGGGAAGGCGAGCGACGAGCGGCAGCCCAAGAAGTCTACCGCTCGCAGATCGCGGCAGCAGACCAGAAGCGTCGGGCGCGTCAACAGAAACCACCATCGCGGACGGAGGATGGCGGTGAAGGATCAGAAGAGATCCAACAAGGAATGCTTGTCCCGGACGGTCTCGATGAGAAAAGTAAGCCGGCCATCAGCCCGGTCCAGGTGCCCTACTTCGTCCCCATCCATCTCCAATCCCACACGCCCACCCATACGCCCGACCACCCTGACGTCGTCCACCATCAACTCGACTCGGCTCGCCGGGCCGGCCTCTGGACTTTCCCTGATAACCAATTCCAACGCGCCAGATCCGCCGTCTTTTCCGCCCTTTGGAGACAAGGAATGTTCTTGGGCATCGGGCTGAAATTCGGGTGCGATTTTCTTGTGTATCCGGGTGAGCACTACTAACATCCCTTCTCTTTTTTTTCTCTCTCTCTTACCCACATACAAAATCTAGTTCAATACTGATTTCTTGTTTTTTTTTTTATTTCAGGCGACTCTCTCCGCTTCCATTCTCATTTCGCATGCACAGTCGTCCAAGATCCCCACAAGCCGATCGCCCCGCTCTCGTTAGTCTCCTACGGACGACTAGCGACGGCCGTCAAGAAATCTCATCTGCTCGCTTGTTGGGACGAGCACTCCCAAGCCGTCCGCTTCTTGAGTCTCGAATGGGCCCGAGATGGGTTGATTGTTTTGTTATATGTGGTTCCCCCATGGAAGCTGTGTCTCATGTGGTCTTTGGGTTCCTGTTCTTCTCCGGGTGTCATACCCAACATTGTTTTTCTTTCATTATCTCAGTTTCTAAATGATACCCCCCCTCCTCTTGGTGTGTCCTATAATATCCCTATTTCGGTTCTTTTACGTCATGGGGTTGTAGTGTAGTGGCTATCACGCGTCATTTGCAATGGCATCAGCACGGTGTTCAATGAAACTTGACGAGGTCCCGGGTTCAATCCCCGGCGACTCCATGTCCTTTTGACTTTCATGCAGTATTTTTTCCTGCTCTCCCAATGTTTTAATCATTTATCACGGGCGGCGAACCGGGGTTACTTGTCATTTTGGGTGCTTTGCGGTTAAGGGTATTATTATCGCATGGAAAAAAGACACTGCCTTTTTTCTCCCTACACGGCACCACCCTTTCGGACGGTCGGTGTTTGTGGAATGCTTGAGTGTGTTTCTTATAAATATGTACAGCATCCCAACGGCCTTGACATAGTCCATACGGATGGTGGACGACGGTATTTAAATGATGATGTCAAACTTGTCAGCAGTCTGCTGGTTCTGTGTTTCATCCTGCAAGTGTGCATGCCCTAGAAGAAATCCAGTGCTTGGAATTTTCTCCTGTTGATGGAATAACGTGCTACGGGCTGACGGTGAGGTTGGATGGGGAAATAAAGCCTTTTTATAAAACTTTTAATGGTTTGGTATCCCCAATGGAGTATGCATAAAGGTTCGATCAGCCTTTCTTTTAAAAAAAAGTATGCTTGAAAAGTTTTTCCTACATAACTATTTAGCTTTGCAAGTCTTCCGGTGGCCCTCTCCTCCGGAGTCAAATCAGCCGGTAGGGTTAGTGCGTGCAGGAATCAGCCGATATGATTCCTGCGGAGCCAGAAGTGAAACATTCCATGCCAACACAACAAAAAGAAGCCTGGTGGCAAGATTTCCCAAAGTCATCGAGAAATCATCACTTGCAGGAGGTGATGGGTCATGTTGCAATCATGAGGACATGAGCTTTCCATGGACTTCTAGGATCCAATCAGAAGGGATGAAAAGCATGATGTGTACTTATCTCCATTCGACTGGCGAAGAGCTGATAAACCCAGCAGATAACCTTATAAAAACCAAATCTTTGAGGGACGAAACAAGTCTTTAGAATCGGTGAATCCACCTTATTCAACGAATAACCTCAGCAGGCTCTCCGCTCAAGCAACCTTGGATTTCTTGTCAAGGATGTGGGGACCCGAGTTAACTGAGCTTGGCGGGCCTGCATTGAGGTCGGCAGGGAAAAACCATCGAAGTTTGCCCCCGCAATCGCAGTTCAAAGGATTCCTTGCTCGTTTCGAGTAGAATGAGTCCCCCAGCGACATGGCCAGTCAGTATTAGGTCATCGTGGAACTCAGCTTTCTCAGCTGATAACAACCATATGATCAATCAATCCATGTTCCCCTAATGCCCACCGGGTAAATTCGACAATGTTTTCGTCGCCATCATCCTTCCAGCGTCACTGCACCGGCGAGAGCCAACTTCAGACGCGAGACTGGGCTCCTTCAACAGCCTGGCCTGGAATCTGTATGGATGGATACCACCCTTCCGGTACTTCATTTCCGAGATCTGATCCCAGCATACCGATTGTATTTCTACCAAAGCTCCAGTGCGGTGTCATTGATGAACTCAATGCCCCCCCCCCCCTCTCGAACATGTTGCATTAGAATTCAGAGTATGGCGGACCGGGTGTCAGTCTGTTACTTGCCTCTGGTCTGATCATACAGACCCTCAAGCATGAACTTTCAGGCCCATTGTTCCTGGATCGAATATGTCCAGTGTAACATAAGTGGAGTGCATTGCGTCGCTGTCCAGCTTCCAGTGAGGGCACAATATTTCATCGTCCAATATCACTACCAACCAACGGGCCATCTAGACACTGGACCTATTTTACCTGCCAGGTCGGTCCCCACCTCAGCGCCTTAAGCTTGCTCTCCGACAAAGGCCTGAGCCGCATTGATCACCTGAAACCTTGGCATTTTCTAATTTAAAAAAAAAAGAAAGAAAAAAAAAAACTTCCTGCTCCCCCCACCGGCCTCTGTTTTAGAAGCGGCCTGACTTTGATCGGTTTCCTGAGAATCGCAGAGTACTTAAACTGTCGACTCACTCCATCTCAGTCTTTCTCGAACCATCCTATCATTCATTTCGCTACACTCTGCGATACCCTCACAGGTTAAACTCCTTGCCATCAAATCACCCTCTAATCTTCCGGATCTTTGTTTCCTTCGGGCAACAATACCATATACTAATAATCGCCCCTGTCTCAAAGCCTTAGCCCAAAACCCGACCGACCCACATCTAATAATTAATTACCTCATCCCACCAGCAACCATGATTTACTCCCGCTCTCAATCATCGCCTGTTTTACTCTCTTTTCTTGTTAGCCTGCTAGCTGCGACAACCCAATCGATTCCTATCAACGCCTCGGGCACCCTGAACAATGTGGCTGCTCCTATCACCACTTCAATCCACCCGTCCGGATTGACCGACTGTCACCCTCTCATCAAGCGCGCCGTTGGTGGAATCGCGATTTCTGGTGTCCCTGCTGGCGTTAATGGCCGGCTGGACGTCGTCCGACGAGCAGTGGGCACAGTTGCTGATTCCGGATGTGGATCCGCTGCCGCAACCCATACCGTCTCGGCCTTGGCGAAACGATCGGTGTCAGACGGAGCCGGCAACATTGCGCCGATCGACTTACCGGAGATTCCTGCGGCGCCGCTCGTTGACGTCGCTGAGGTCGTCGACGAAGTCCCAGTAGTGGGCCATCTCCTCCCGGTCCTTGTCAAGAGATCCAAGAAGATCGTCACCCCACCGGCCCCCAAGAAGTCCGTGCCCCAGGCTCCCCCCAAGGCCCAGTCCAGGATCACCGGCTACCCCGCCCCGTCCCGAGCAGCCGGCAGCCCCGACACTGAACAGAAGTGGGCTCATGCCCGCGCATGGAAGTGAGAGACTTCCTGCATAGTCCCATGGTACGTCCATCGTCTCGTAGCATGTTCTCTTATCGCTAGCCTAACCTTGTCCTTAACTCCTAGATCTCTGTTTCTTCTATAGCGCATCATCCACATAGCCCGCAGGCATCTTTCACTCCTTTCGACGATCTCGCATTCTTTTCTTCATTTTCTTTCCTTCATCATGGCCAAACATGTCGCCTGTTACCATGTTCATCAGCGATCCATCCTTTCATTACTCTCTACTTCATGAGCTCATTTTCGATTGCCGATATGGGTCTCTCTACTTATTTTAGTAACACTTCTGACAATTGATGTAAATTCCATGAATTCTTTCACTGCTATTATCATCACTCCCATAATAATCGTGGTGATTGGTTCCACTTTTCTTATTTTTCTTGCTTCACTCTTTATGATATTAATCACCCCTCAGCTCTTTCCCTACAAAAGTCTTAGTTTTGTCGTAGTAAGTGCTGAGTTTGAGTGAGCTTGATCCAGTTGTCCCCCCCCTTGCCGCCTGAGTCCATCAAGATCACCTTATCTTCCATCTGAGCTTGCCACTTGATCTTCCATTCACAACTTTTTCCTTTCACAAAATGTATGTGTATTAATCGTCACAAGTAATATTCATGAGGTTCTTATCATCATAAGGCATTTGCGATATGAGAGGCCGGATTGAGAGCCTATTCTTGAGCCACCTTTATTTCACACTGGCTACCCTGCCAGGTGGTCCTCTTGCACCACCTGCTCCAGTGGCAGTACTCTCTTGTTTGAATTGAGAGCCCTATGATGTCTCTTGAATTATTTGCCTCCTCCTCCTCCTGTCACTGATTTGTTAAAGCTCTCAATCTACTTAAATATTTGTCCCTCAGGGTATACTGATCTACCTATCTAAAAACTGAACTCTCCAAGATATTCTTTATGTTTTGAGGGGAAACAAATGTCAAGGGAAAATCCATTATGATCAGTAAACAGGGGCCTTGAGGAGAATAAGAATGATTTGTACTCTGATGAGTATATATTTTTTAGCAAGAAATGCTACTATTCAACTGAAAGAAACTGAATGTGCCACTGTCCAGTGTGAGATGACTCATCCCAGTTCTCATCACATTTCTCACTGCTCTGTGGATTCATCTTTACAAGCCTAGAATCCCTACTTTGTGATACTATTGTTCCTTTTGTTTGAGCTTTATAACACATTTAGTTGGTAGCGTGTTTTCATTCTATATGAGGATCCCTTTGACATCTCTCTATGAAGGTATCAGTTTTTTTTTTCATGCATGTGCCTTCTGCAATTTGGGGGGGCTTTTTGACCTCCATTGGCTCAGTCTTGTCCTCAATTCTCATGCAGAACTGTCAACCCAAATGAGCCAGAAAAATCCCAAACTACTAGCACCACAAATCGCTCAACACACAGACAAACTGATGGTTCCCCAGTCAAGATGAAGTCTAATTCTAGAGACTTCAACTCTCTAGGGGAAGGAGGAATTAATACCACATATTGCAAACAGCAAATAAATCCTTACTTTCTTAAATTCATCTTTCATTCCAACTTTTTGGTTTTTTTTTGAGATTATAGAAGCCTAAGACATTTCACGGCGAAAGGGGTTGTATCAGTTACAACCCCCCGTGATAACGTCGCCCTGAGGCCACCAATACAAGATTGGTCTCCTTGACTGATTTTATATCGGCCAGGCCCACCAATACATTTTTCCTTTGTTCTAATGTATTGGTGGGCCCGATGTGGAACTACTCTTTGGGATGAATAGAGCTGGAGAGGGAAAGATGCTTTAATGGGCTGCCTCTCTGGTAACTGGGTTGAGTAAGATAACAAGAAAAAGATAAGAGTGTGGACTCTTAAGGAAAGGTGTGGCTTTGGAGAATTCTTGAGATGGGTATGTCTTCTGTCTTCTGGTCTTCTGTCTGAATAATACTAGTATCCCAAATGTTGATGGGCAACTACTAGGCTAATGAAGGGTGATCAGTTATCTGGATTGCTGGGGCAGGATCTGATGGGGAACAAATGAAGAGGGGAAAACAAGGCTCCTTATATACAAAATCTGGGGAGTGGCCAGCTTGTGGTTGGAAACACCATGGAACAAAATGGAACAAGAGAAAATTATCAAACTGAAACAATGTGGCCCAATTGGTAGGCACTAAGATGAATGGAGGAAATGACATCAGAGACATGCAGGGATGAAATGTGCCACAACCAATAAGGGAGGAAGAGTATACCAAAGAGATGAATGAACTAGCCAAATGTGTACTAGTGTGAGACATGAAAATAACCCAAGAGGAATAGTGTGAAACAATAGAATGTGGCCCAAAGCGGAAATGAGACTAGAGTGAAATTGGATTAGAGTGAAACACATGCAGAGGCCAAGTGTGGAAGGCTGAATGGGGATTGATGATGTAAGACTGCATGAGATGATTATGTAATAATGAAATGAAATGAGAATCCAGAGTGTCTTCTGTCCAGGGGGCTTGGTCTTGTGACATCCATGGTGTTGCAGGTTGGCTGAATATTGCAGAAGGGGCTTGCCTTGGTCCTTGAGGGTCTTGTCATCCAGAGGGCTTGATTATGTGCTTGAGGCTTTGATTTTGTGGGCCTCTTATTCAAGATTGGCTTACCACATCCACCCCCAAATTAGATGATGACCCCATCATCCAAACAAAGAACAGAGCCAATCTTGATACTGACAGAATTGGGGTCAGGGTGAATCAGCACAAAATTGGGCACAAAATGATATACTTAATTTCACATATGAACAAACATGAGGTACAAATGAGTATGAGAAGGGATATAACAAAAAAAGAGAGAGAGGTGAAGAGTGGGAAGAGAAAAGAAGGCAAGTAGTGAAAAGAAAGGGTTTTATTTGTTTTTGAGGTGAGGGGTTGGTTGATTTTATTGATTTATTCTGAGATTTGTTTTTAATTTTTATATTTTTAACCACCCCCAAATTTGCATCTGGGAGGGGTGGGGGAAACAGATGACAAGAGAAGTTGAATTTTTAGAAGAAAAAGGCCAAGGAATTAGGGTGTTGTTTTGGAGGTAAGGGCTTGGGATTTTATTCAACTTTTTATCACTTATTTATCACTTCCATTCTTTTTTTTTTTTTTTTAACTTATGCGGCGCAAAAGGACCAAGGAAGCCTGTTCTCTCTGACTCATTAGTCTGGCCTTAAGGTCAAAACCATCCGCGCTCGTTCCATCCAAGTCCGCCGCGGCTGCTGCTGCGGTGTCGTGATCCGTAAAATGAATGATGGCCCCAGGGTTGTTATTTTGCGAAGGTAGGAGAAAGCAGTGCACGATGTCGCCGTATGCTACCAAGGCCGTACAAAGGTCCTCGACCGAGGTGCCTGGGCTAAGATTTAACAGGAGAATAGGCCACGGTAAAACCGCGTGGAAGTAACGCACATGGTTCGGTGAACGTTCTCGGCCGGGGAATTCCATACCTCAAACGGAGCGTCGACGGGTGGGGGGCGGTCTGTATTCCGGTTCCCAATGAATAAGGTAAAACAGCTTGTTCCGGTTGTACCGGCGGCGTTGTCTCTTTTCAAATTCCTGATGAAGCCGCCGAGTGTCGGCGCGAAACGCTTGGACGAATTGATTCCAACGCTCGTTAGAAGCGTTTAGCCGATCTATCGTTTCTTGACTGATAAAGGAAAATTCTCGAATCGGGAGTAGTAAGTCGTCCTCCCCTAACCCCAGAGTAGCATCTTCTTGTTTCATGTTATATTTTGGGCAAGTCGTCTCAAATCGCGGCTGTCTTAACTGAAAGGAATGACGCAAGGTAAGGAAATAGAAATATGGTGCCCGTGTTTGAAGTTTTAGCGAAAGCGGAAATCAGAGAAGTCAAGCCTATGACTACGAGCAGCGGCCGAGTCGTGGTTGCCATTACTGGGGTATAAAAGCAGGGTTGACAGCTTCTTTGTTGCCAGTAGTAATCAATTTCCTGTAGTCATGTCGCTCAGTCCCGCCGAAGTCAACGCTGCTACTGCCCTAGCCAACATGCTAACAAACAACAGTCCACTCTCCTCCATTTATTCCACCGATAGACACGTATCCGTGGGTTTAGATGATGGGTTCACGTTGCCGCCTCTTGTCGAGATCCGTCCCTCAGCTTATCTCCAAGCCCACGCCGGCGCTATCTTAGACGTCGATACAAGCACTAACGCGGATCTGGGGTTTGTTCCTCTGTTCAATGCCGCGCCGGCCACGCCGGTGTCGTTGTCAAGTGATCAGGACGGGTCCATCGCTACTGAAGACGAGCTTGGCCCTTCCGACTCCGAAGAAGACTCTCGTTTACAAACCCTGCCGGACTCTTCCGACCGTTGTCGCGAGACCTATTTACAATCTAATGCTACCTTGATAGCGTCACCCACACCCAGAGAACAATTTGTCCGTCCAACGGAAGCTTTAACGTCTCCCGGACCCGAGCCAATTGATTATTCGGTCGTTATTCCCGCTTCTAACGGTTACCGCTCGCCGTCAGTTGTTAGTTTCTCTGACTTACCGGGGAACGGCACCGCCGATTCGCCCTATTACGTCAACACGCCGCCGCCGGGGTCAGACGCCAAAGAAAACGCTGCCGACCGAGGACCTTTCTTCGCCGAAGTGGTCCGTGAAAGAACTGTGCGCACTGCACGCCGTCGTATTAAGGAGAGATTTCACGATTATTTCCATATCCTCGATTCTTTTCCGTATTGTACCGCTGCGCGCACCGGGGAACGTCGCCGTTCTGCGCGTCAATGGTTGTACCGCAAAGTCATGGATGAGATGGACCTGGTCTTGGCCGATGTGGATGAAGTGACCATGCAACTTGTCAATTAGGTGAGTAGAAAGTAAATAACTTTGAGTGCATCCCAAAAAAATAATCCCGAGTAGTACTGATATGACTTATTGTTTTATTTATTTATTTTATTTTCTCTCTTTTTTTTTGTTTTTTTGTTTTTTTTTTTTGGAGTGTTTTGACAGAGCCCAGAAAGAATTTTTGTTAGGAAAGAAAATACCCAAAAGGAATTTGTCGAGAAAGAATTTTGTCAAGTTGAAATGAAAAGCCCCAAAATCATTCCCTTGAAAAGAAAGGTTTGACCTGTGAGGCTGCATATCTTCTTTTTAATGCTGTCCCATCCAATTCTTCTAGATTGTAAGATCCTCCCTCCTCCTGTGTGGTAATTCTGAAGGGGCCATTCCACCTGTTTTTGAACAACTTGCCCCATTGAGAATCCAAGGATTTGTTGTAGACAAGGACAAGTTGACCAGGTAGGAGGGGTTTTCTGACAGAGTTCTTCAGGTTTTGGGGTTCCAAGGATTGGGCTCTGGCTTCCTTCATTTTTTTGTAGGCATCCTGAAGGGTTTCTTCTCTCCTTTCCAATTGGAGGACTCTTGCAGTAAGTAATTCTTCCGTGGTGGAAATTTCCTCCCAGTTAGTTCCAAGGTAGGTTTCTAGTTCCAAGTCCACAGGTAGAATTGCAGGCTGGCCAAAAAGCAACTCATAGGGGGAATATTCAGTTGTCCTTTTGGTGGAAATTCTGTCAGCAAATAACACCAGTGGTAGGTAATTTCTCCATTTTTTGCCATCAGTTTCACATAATTTTACCAAAGTGTCTTTGATTGGCTGATGTCCCCTTTCTACCATCCCGTTTGCTTCAGGGTAATAGGGAGTGGTGACTTTGACGGTAGATTCAACTTGAGTGAGGGCATTTTGAAGTTCTTGTCCAAATTCTGAGCCTCCATCAACTACAACTGTGAGAGGGACACCATATCTGTGGATCCAGTTTTCCAGAAACCATTCAGCAATTTTCTTGGCCTTGATTTGCTCCAATCCAACTGCTTCAACCCAGCCAGACAGGTCATCTCTGGCAACAACCAAGTATTTCCACCTTCCAGCTTTGATATGGATGGTGTCCAGACTGACTCTTCCAAAGATTGTGGATTTTCCTGAGGCTCTTTTTTCTTCCAGGGGTTTTGAGGAGCTTCTTTTCTGACAGGGGATGCAAGATTGGACCCATTTCTTGTTTGATCTTCTCACATTTGGCCGCGAGAATCTGAGTTTGGGTTCTCTGTAAGTCTCATCCATTCCTCTGTGGCCCAATTCTTCATGAAGTGCTTTGAGGACAGATTTCTGGAGGTCTGGATTGGTGACAACTACCTGGGGAAAGGGTTTATTTCTCCTTTTTAACTGGCCTAAAGATGGCATCTGATACCCGGGTACCCCAAACAGGTGCGGGTACCCGCCTCAGAAATGTCCTAATCCGGACACCCACACCCGCACCCGCACCCGCAGAGGGTGCAGTGGGCAGGTACCCGGGTACCTGTTGCAGGTACCCGCAGGTACTTGATTTGTTTCCGGCTCAGAATTGAATCTCTCTTGCATTGCCGTTACTACACATGTTAAATAAATGAAAAAATATATATAAAAAATATAAAAAAAAACTATGTACTTCATTTTTTCCCTGATCTCCCTTTTCCTTTTTGTTTAATCTCATTTGCCTTATTTACCCTCCATTTATGTAGTACTCCAGGTTTTATTTTCCCATTCTTGGAGTAAAAAGCAACTGCCATACCTTTTGTGACTGACGAGGCACTGAGTCGGTGCCTTTTAAGGGAAACATAATCCCTCCCAAAGCTGAACAATCGTTCAACATTGACGGTCGTTGCTAGATATAAGAGTGTTAGGAATTCAACCTGGTCATCTAGGCTACAAGAAAGAAAACTTACCAGACCGGTGAGGGGATTGGCTGTGATGGATATGATATCTCCCAGTGACAGGGATACATATGCTTATAAGAATAGTATTATGGATAATAATATGCTTGTATGTAACTATAAACATGCAGATCTGGACCCTCTCAAATCCGCGGGTGTTGGCAAGTACTTGCTCCGGGTACCCGCTGGCTTTTACCCATTGAAATTGGACACCCGCACCCGCACCTGGCACCCGTTTGCGGGTACCTGTTTTCAAAAACAGGTACCCGCAAACGGGTGCCGGGTACCCGGAAACGGGTACCTGATGACATCTTTAAACTGGCCTTCAGACATAAAGAACATGGCTGATTTGTGTTTGATATTGGCCCAATCTTTTGCAGAACAGTCAGGGGGTCTGTTGAGGGTTTCCAAATAGTACTGAAGATCCTTCCAAATCCCAATTTGTGGACTCTTTGAGGGCTGAATTTCCAGGTGTACCATATTAGTTTGCTTGAGACCAAAACCAGGGTGAGGCTTGATCCATTTTTCTTCCTCATCAAATTCTTCACCAATTTCTCCAGGGTCAGGGGGCCTTCTTGATAATCCATCAGGCATGGTGAAGGTTTTTCCAGGGACATGCTTCATGGTGAAAGAAAATAGTTGAATAAAAGCTACCCACCTGGTCATGGGGGCATTGGGCAAGCTGGGTGAGTTGATCATTTCTATAAGGCTCTTGGCATCCACTAATAGTTCAAAGTGTTGACCCCAGAGTTGAGTTTGCAGTTTCTTGAGGACCTTTGTAACTCCACAGAGTTCAAGCTTGGATTGGGAATATTTGGATTCTGTAGGGGAGAAAACAACTGATTCATAAAGAACAGGCCTGTCCAAACCAGCATCTTCTTGTGTGAGTACTGCTCCAGCTGCTATATGACTTGAATCCACAGCTAATTTGATTGCACCCGCTTCTTCAGAATAGTCCAATTTTTTTAGAGTTATGTCATAGCCCACAATTTGTTTTAATTTTTCAAAGGCATCTTGACAGGACTGGTTCCATTTCCATTCTGAGTCCTTCCAAGTGAGTCTTCTGAGGGGTGAGGCCAATTCTGAAAGTCCAGGGATGAACATTCTGACATATACACAGACACCAAGAAATCCTCTGACATCCGTGGGGTTGTCAGGAGATGGCCAGCTTTCTACTTTGTTGAGTTGTTTTTTGGCAATTTTTCTTCCTTCTTTGCATACCACATGTCCCACAAGGTCCAGGGCCGGTACACAGCAGGCAAATTTCTTTCCAGATATGGTAAGTCCAGCTTCTTCAATTCTGAATAAAATTCTTTCCAAGGTGACTGCATATTCCCAAATAAATCTTCCGATGCCAGGATTTGCTTCTAGGGTTTCTTGATTGTAGTCTGAGACAGGGCCTTTAATTCCACCGTCATCAATGAAAATTCCTACATTATTTGGGATTTCATCCTGAAGTATCCACATCATTTGGGCTTGGTATACTGCCACAGAATTGGTGGCTCCTTGGGGTAGTCTGGTAAGTTGGAATCTGCCAAGGGGGGTTTCAAAGGTGGTGAGGGGTCTTGATTCCAGGGCTAATTCTCTTTCATTATATCACCCAGACCATAGCAGGCCCTTCCAGTGAAAGATTCAATGAGTTCTTCAGGATTTGGTGGAATCCCAGCATCTTTGATGGTTACTTTATTGAGCCTTTGTAAGTCATGGACCACTCTGAGTTTACCATCTTGCTTCTTGACACAGAAAACAGGGCTGGAATAACTGGAACAGGATTGTTCATAGAGGCCAGTTTTGAGTCTTTCCCTTACTAATTCAATAAATTTGTCTTTAATTGCTGCAGGGATAGGGATTGGTCTTTGTTGCCAAGGTTCATGTTTGATGACTGGAATTTTGTAGGGTTGGCCATAGGAATGTTTGAGTAATCCTCTTTCTTCTTCACAAAAGGCCAAGCCTCCTTGTCTGAGTTTGATTACATGTTTCAGGAGCTTGAGTTCCTCTGGCCAAAGCCAATCAGGGGGTCCAAAGTTGACAACTTTTAGTCTTTCTTCTGTCACTTTCCAGGTAGGGGTAAATTCTGGGGGAAAGGGGGTTAAGGGGGTCTGGTAGGGGTCTCTTGAGAGGGGAGGTTTGCATAGGGGGGCATTGAGGTGTTGGGGCATGGCTTCATTTACAGGTTTGATTTTTTTTGTGGTTGATTTATATTTTGCTGCACATACTAACATAACTCCTTCTTGTTTATTTTTAGGCACCTCCCAAGTCTTCACTTGTGGGAGGTGCCAGAGGCTAAAAAATGACTTGATGTGGTGACAGTGTGGACTGGAAAGTCTCTTTCCCATTTCTGATTTGTTGGATTATGTATTGGGACCAAGTAAGTCTTGCCTGCTTTCTGGATTGAGAGAGATTCTGCTCCAAATTGAAGAAATTTGATGGTAGCTGACACATCTATGAGCCATGGTTTACCCAGGATTGGTTGAACTTCCCCTGCAGAAACATAGAAATGAATTCCTCTGGTTATATGTCCTACCTTGACTGGGACATTTTCAGCTACTCCCAAGATTTCATTCTTGTGGCCACCTATTCCTTTAAGATTCATGGCTCTTTGGGTAATTATGAGGCCCATCCTTGCTGCTAGGTCTCTGGGAAGTAAGTTGACTTGGGATCCATTGTCCAAGAGTGCTTGAAATTGTTTTCCATTAATGCTGACATCAATATAACCTAAGGGGCAGGCATAATGACTGGATTCTTCAGTAGGCTGGTCCTCTTCTTCTGTTTCTTGATCCAGGCCTCCAGAGTTTGTGGATTTAGTGGGTTCCACGGGAATTCTTTTTGGGCTGATTTTCTTTTTAAAGGCTTCAACAGCTCCATTAGAAATGGCAAAAATTTCACCGTAGGATAATTCCATTCTGCCATCCATGAGCATTCTGCTTACTACCTTGTCTTCAGCATCTGGGAATTGATTGGTAAGAGGTCTTTCCACATAGGTTTTCTTGGGGGCTTTCTCCTTTGGGGTTTCCTTGGGAGGAGCAGGTTGAGCTTCAGTAGGCTTTTGGAACTGTACCTTTTTGTTGGGTGGAGTATATTCTTTGGTAGAGGAAGCTGGTAATTCCACAGGGTTGTAGTCATCCTGTCTGGCAATTTCTAAAAGTCTGTCTCTGTCTATATCCATTAAGTCTTCCTTTTCTTGTCTGACCTTCTTGTTAGCTGAATTTTCTTCTGGATATTCTTTACCACTTCTGGTTCTTTTTACAGCTTCACAGTCATAACTGGATTGTTCCTCAGCATCGATTTCCTCTAATTTACCATAAGAGGTCTGAGGTTCAGTTGAAATTTCTGCAGATTTGTTCAGAGCTCCCTGGGGTAGGTTCAGGATTCCTGGCTGTTTTTGGGATAGGTGAAAATGGTCCACAACTGTTTTGAAGGCTTTGTTTCTCTCCCACTGGACTGTATTTCCATCTGGTAAGATTACATTAGGTCCATCCTTTTTGAAGAGTCCTTTCATTTCATCAGAATTGGCCAAGTTACACCTATGGAAAGTGTGTCCTACTCCAAGGCAGTAATTGCACCTGACAGTACTCCAGTCTTTCTCCATTTGGGCAGGTTTGTAGGGAACATGACTTTTGGAAATTAAAGGGTTGGATTGGGTGTTGGATTTCTGGGTATGCCAACTGGCCAAGGTTTTGGTGAGGTCTTCCACAGCTTTTTGGTCAGAAGTTTTGGGGGCCTGGGGTTTGACTGAAGGTGCTGCCTCCATATTTCTTAGGACTTTTCTTCTTTCCATGACTGAGGCTGATTGGACTTCCCTGTGGATGTAGCTGATTAAAGTTTCAGTGTCTGGTAAGATATCTCCACCATCCTTGGAAGCCAACATCATGTTGTCCCTGATGAGTTCCTTGGTAACTGAAGACTCCAAGTCTGGGCTGAGGGATTCCAAGAGGCATTCTCTGGATTCTTCTAAATTGGAGCTGTAGCCCATCCTGACCAAGTAGTGAGTGATGGCTTCAAATTTGGTTCTGAAGATTTTGAAGTGTTCCAAGGTCTTGATCCCTCCTCCTTTGATTGCAGAACCAACCAGGTGTTTGAGGTCATGCCTGGTGTATTTGACCAATGGGAGAGAAGATCCAAATCTGTTGAGTAATTGTCTTTTTAATCTTTCCCAGTTAGAGTCTTCATAGCCCGACATTTCTTCAACTTCATCCTTAAGGTCCATTCCTTTTATGAAGGGTATTATTTGGTTGGCCAAGTCCTGGGAGCTGGCTCCATCTTTCTTTCCAGCAGCCTCATATCTTTTGATGAATTTTTCTATGGGCATGTTGGATCCATCAAAGCAGAGTTCTTTGTCCAGGAGTTTAATTTTGACAGTTCTTCTTCCTCCAGTATATTTAGGCATTTCTGGTTCTCTCTCCAAAAAGTGGATGGGGAGGGCTGTCTTTGGGGTGGGTTGGGTCCTAAAGGTAGGTCTTCTTGGTTGAAATCCATCCTGTTGGCTCCCAGTGGTCTGAGGGGATAAAGGCTCCTGTGGGTCCAAAGGGTTCAAGTCTTCACTTTCTGATGGTGGTTGGTTATTTCTCATAGGTCCAGGATTAAAAGGTGGGTTGTTTCCAGGAGGTGGCTGATAAAAGGTGGTTCCAGAATTATAGTAATGGAGAGGAGGTAATTGAGTTGGTTGGACTTGGCCTCTCCAGGGAGGGATAACCAAATTGGCCATATTGACCATAGGTCCAGAAAAGGAGTTTCTTCTAGGTTGGTTATTCATGGTAAGTGGGAAGGTGGAGGTATGTGATGTGTTGTGTCTGTTGGGATGTATACTGATGAGATGTGGTTCAAAAGCTGATAGTAGGGAAAGGATGTCTTGGGGGTGGGTTGGGTTGTGTAGTGAAATGATGGGGAATTTTCTGAGTGGAGGGATAGGTGAGTTTGATCTTCAATTTGCCGAAAGTAACTTGCTGATCTTGAGTCTGGTATTTTTGTAGAGGTGGGACTGTGATGGACAATTGACTGAAACCAAAAGATCTTCAGGCCACTGTTGGGACACCACTTGTGGAACTACTCTTTGGGATGAATAGAGCTGGAGAGGGAAAGATGCTTTAATGGGCTGCCTCTCTGGTAACTGGGTTGAGTAAGATAACAAGAAAAAGATAAGAGTGTGGACTCTTAAGGAAAGGTGTGGCTTTGGAGAATTCTTGAGATGGGTATGTCTTCTGTCTTCTGGTCTTCTGTCTGAATAATACTAGTATCCCAAATGTTGATGGGCAACTACTAGGCTAATGAAGGGTGATCAGTTATCTGGATTGCTGGGGCAGGATCTGATGGGGAACAAATGAAGAGGGGAAAACAAGGCTCCTTATATACAAAATCTGGGGAGTGGCCAGCTTGTGGTTGGAAACACCATGGAACAAAATGGAACAAGAGAAAATTATCAAACTGAAACAATGTGGCCCAATTGGTAGGCACTAAGATGAATGGAGGAAATGACATCAGAGACATGCAGGGATGAAATGTGCCACAACCAATAAGGGAGGAAGAGTATACCAAAGAGATGAATGAACTAGCCAAATGTGTACTAGTGTGAGACATGAAAATAACCCAAGAGGAATAGTGTGAAACAATAGAATGTGGCCCAAAGCGGAAATGAGACTAGAGTGAAATTGGATTAGAGTGAAACACATGCAGAGGCCAAGTGTGGAAGGCTGAATGGGGATTGATGATGTAAGACTGCATGAGATGATTATGTAATAATGAAATGAAATGAGAATCCAGAGTGTCTTCTGTCCAGGGGGCTTGGTCTTGTGACATCCATGGTGTTGCAGGTTGGCTGAATATTGCAGAAGGGGCTTGCCTTGGTCCTTGAGGGTCTTGTCATCCAGAGGGCTTGATTATGTGCTTGAGGCTTTGATTTTGTGGGCCTCTTATTCAAGATTGGCTTACCACACCGACCAATATAAAATCGGTCAATCAGACCAATCTTATATTGGCCGCCTCCGGGCAACCTTATTGCGGGGGGTTGTAACCGATACAACCCCTTTCAAAGTGTTTTTTTTTCAGGTACAACTGTCTTCAAGTCCCTGGAACAGTTTCAAAGTGTGGTGATTAAAATGTGTTATAACTTTGACCACCCCAATGAATGCCTCATGTTTCTTGAATCTTTGAACTTTCATATATCATTTTGGATTAATTGTCTCAAATACTAACAGAATCATAGCAATTTCATGTGTTTTGAAATGTAGCTTTTTTGAGTTTTCAAATGGACAGATCTTGTCATGTAGTTGATCAACTAAGGTAAGGAAACAAGATATACAGACTTGCATTTACCTCCTTGACATCCCCAGGACTCCACTTGAATTGAGACTGTGATCGGATGATGTAATATGAATTATATGTATCAAGGGCCCCTTTGTATTTTTTGGAACTTAATTGGACAACTTCCCATCGGATCTGGGGCCCCCCAGTCCCAGGTTGCAATTCAGACCCACAAAATCTAGATTTTCACAGGGAAAACTAGCTTTCAAGGCTTTATGAGAGCAAAACTGGGGATCCAACAAAAAAAGGCCTCCATTGATATGTATGTATCACAGTGAAAACTGTCTAAGGGCATAAACGTCTACATAACTGGATAATCTGCCAAACTTCCACTCTTGTCATTTGACTGCTACTGCACTTTGTATAAGGGCATAAACCCGCCAAGGGCATGTCAAAATTGTGTGACCAAGGGGTATGCCCTTATAAGAAGGTTTTGACTATGTATATATATACAGTAGAACTTGTCCTAACCCATACCCATCGGTGGATTGACTTTTCCATGGGTTATGACAGGTTATGGGTAATGCCAGTTGCCCCTCATAACCCATACACTAACCCATACCTTTGAAGACCCATAAAATGTATGGTTTTGGACGGGTATCTGCAAAGCAACCTTTGAAGACCCATAAAATGTATGCTTTTGGACGGGTATCTGCAAAGCAACCTTTGAAGACCCATAAAATGTATGGTTTTGGACAGGTATCTGCAAAAGAGTTGTTGTTGTGACCCACGGTCCCAGTGGTACCACTGGGAAAATGTATGGGTTTGAGCAGGAAAATTCCGGTTTGGGAGACCAAAGTCCTATGGATTACAGGGGAGGGCAGGTTTATGGGTTAAGACCCCTTTTTTGGCTGGCCCCAAATTGGGAGCCTTAAGTCTCTATGGGTTTGGAGGGGTTATGGGTCTTGACAAGTATGGGTTAGGACGAGTTCTACTGTATAAATTCTGAGACAGTTTTCTTACCTTCTATAATAGAGTAAAATGAAAGGTTACAAAAGACTGATCAAAGAGAAGACAAAGACAAAGATCAGATTGTGTAATATCACGTTTTCTCATCTTGGCTGGGAACCTGATCCAGTGTATAATCAAAACTCTGATCAACACCCTGTCACTTCTTATGAATACATCTGATTGAGGTGATTTCTTCTTGCTTCAATTATTGTGTTTTTGTTGCGGAATTTTGGACATCAATGTTACACAGATGTTTTTTTCCAGCTTGGTTGGTGGGTCTGTTGATATCCTTTTCCTGGTTCATTCATTTGGCTATTTTTGTCATCAGAGCTGTATGCCTGAGAAGCAGATTTAGAGGCTTTCAGGGATGTTCATATGACTGGAAGGTGATAGGGGAGCTAAAGGGGTGCCCACCATATAAGGCTAGATGGAAGATGTGCGTGTGTGATTGTTGAAAATGCTATGTAGATGGTGATTGGCTCCTGTGGATATCCAGTGATCTTTCAGGGGGAGATGCTGATAGTTATTCTGAATTTCTGTTTGATTTTTGATGGTGGAACTCAAGAGGAGTTGCCAGCTGGGAATGGGAATGATGAATTTCCCTGAACCTGCAACCGAATGTGCCCCTTCGACAACCCTGCAACCACTCCCCCTCTCCTCCCATATCCTCCAGTTTGTAAATAAGTCTATCTTTCTTTCAACCGAAGCCATCGAGAGAAGAACAGTTTATAATTGTTAAGATTGTTAGTTTACATATTTAATTTTTGGGTTTTTACGTCAATGTCCAGATCAAGGAACTTCTGCTTCCTTCAATCGTCCTTCTCCGATCTTCTTCCTGTCAAGCCTGCCACCGGCCCCACCCTCCGAGATCTCATCCTCAACACCCGGCCCAGTCAATCAGCGGTAATATCAGTCCTCCAGCGAGTCCCGACCAGCCCGACCGGATCCCGCTGGAGAGCCTACAGCACTTCCTCGGCCCAACTGAAGAACATCACCGCCGAACAGGCCACCCAAACCGGACCAAGACCATGGACATCGATCACCCTGATTTCGTTGGCGACGCTCTCGATCGGCTACCTCGTCGGAACTAGCTATCCGCCCAGTCTCATGAGCCAACTCGTCATCAATTCCTTCCTCAAACCCTCCTCTACCAGCTCATCCTCCCATCCCCATCATCACCATGACTCGCCAGAGGCCCAGGAGATCACCAACGCCATCGAATCCCAGCTCCATCAACTCCAGATCGTCAAACAACTTAATGCTCAACCCGACCGTTGGCTGTCCTTCAGACCATTCAATAAACTTGCTCGGCATCAGATGTCTCATAGCCTTACTTATTCAACCCTCAGAGGCCCTGGGAAATTCGCAATCCCTCCCATAGTATTCATTAACAAGTAAGTCCTTTTCCACCATTTCCCCCCCTTCTTTTTTAAAAAAAAACACACACACAGTGATACAAGAGTTGCATAGAATTGAATGAAGGATGTCTGCGTTTTCAACTATCAGGGATAAAACAGAAGCAGTAGTGGTCGTGCACGTAGGCGATTTGATGTGTGGACACGATGGGATCGTCCATGGAGGCTTACTCGCGACGATTTGCGATGAAGGACTAGCCGCCCTTGTCAGTTCCAACCCCAAACTTCTTGTTTGTTTTTTTATGGCGGCAAGGGCGAAGAAAGACTGACAAAAGTGACATTATGCCAACACGAAAAAAAAAAAAAAAAACGAAAAATGGGACGTTTTGAACGATTACAGGCGTTCAGCAATTTGCCCAACATGATCGGAGTGACGGCGAGTCTGAAGTTGGACTACAAGAAGCCGGTCCTTGCCAACCAGTTCATCATCCTCCGCTCCTGGCTCCCGGGCGATCGAGCGCCCAAAGGCAGGAAAGTCTGGGCCGATGGGCGGATCGAAAACTTGGCTGGAGACGTCCTGGTCGAAGCTGAGTTGAGTATCTCTTCATCATCCCCCCCCTTTTTTTATTTTTCTTGGTCTGAATCTCTCATAAACCCATCCCTCTACACCAAAAAAAAAACTGACTGGATGAAACCGTTTGACTCTTGTTTCATTTCAAAATAGGAGCTTGTTTGTCGAACCCAAAGGAGCAAAATTCATCAGCAACAGCCAGGTCAAAGAATTCATGACGAAAGGTTAAACACATCATAAACACCCATATATATACATACCTCGAATGTCCCCTCTTTCCTTTGCTTGTATACTTGTGTATATATATGTGGACGGGTGTGTATATATGTGTAC